GAGTTGTTAGCGAAAGCAAGCAAGGGTCATAATCCTAAAAACCATTTGCGAAGCTCTCCTGGCCTCACGTATGCCTGATCTACGTCTGGGGTCTTCATACGCTGATACCAACAACAGCTATCTCTAAGGGCTCCTTCATGCAGGGCCTTCGTATCAATCTTGGAAACCTCCAGACCCTCTCTTGATGATAATATCTGGAATTCTCAACGTTCTGTCTGCAACGAACCCATAGGTCATTGCACCTCTTGTCGGCCGAAGGATGAGCCGCCTGATTTAACGTGATATGTGAAGCTGCTTGTATGCAAAACATGAAGTGTGGACGAAGGGTAAACCAACCTCGATCAATGTCCAACCTTTTAGTGCATAGATGCCTTTCTTGGTGCTAGACCGGCCTAGGTGACAGGGCCTACCCACCGAAGTTCCCAGATCTTACCCTGCTTTGTAAAAGATAACTAAAAGCGCCCGAAGTTGCAAAACTTGACTGAAATTTTGGAGCTGATTTGTTACTTGCAAATCTGCGCAGGGCTGGGTTGGCTCGTACTGTCTCATTGTTAGATCGTGACCAGCAGGCGATGTTCAAGAGGTATGTTGGCTCCTCGGCATCAGCCTTTGGCCAGGGGGAACAATGCTAGATGGCGGATGGAAAGCATTGGCTACCAAACGTGGCCCGCAGCGGACGAGAAAACGTGAACATATGGTAGTATGTTGGTCTGTTGAAAACGCTATGCCAAATCCACGATTATTACCGAAGCAGTGGTACAGGTCCAATGTTCCCGACACAATGTCATGTTCAGTAGAGCTTCTGAGGCTCCCCCAGCGCTAGGGAGGTGCCGTGGTTGTACTGTTGGTCCCGCGGTTGACGGCACGGGGAAAATTCAGTCTGGGTCTGGTGTCTAGTCCATCCTTGCTAATGTTGTCTAAATACGACTATTTTTGTACTGTTGGACATACGGCAGAGCTCCGGTCTTCAACGGACATCGCTTTCGTTGCGGATAGGAAAGTGTCTTCACGGGCTGCTGAGAGGAAGTTCTGCGCAGTCAAGCGCAATGATATCGCTGGCTCCGGATCGTACCGTTTGCACACCATCTCGGAGATGGGTGTTCAGACGAGTCAAGGAATCTTGTAGACTGGGACAATCGTGAAGGTGTGCATCCCTTGCGTGCGGCCACTAAGCACAAGACTTATCCACGTTGGAAACACCCTGCTGTGCCATCCATGTAATCAAGCTTCGCCATAGTCGAATCAAGCCCCTGGGTCTGTTGGATTGGCGGGATAGACCCCACTGCCAGGCGTTTCAGGAATCGCGCCACCCAACCATTCCGAAAGGCCTCGTACATGGCCCAAGAGTAGTCAGCGCGAGATTGGTGTGCTTCGGACAACAGGATGGTGATGGGTGTGGTACCTGGCGGGAGGCTTCCTTGGGAGACGAATATACGCTGGCAACCTGTATTACTCTTGCTCCTTCCGATGACCGTGTGGCACAAGGACTTCGCAAATTGGATCAATCCAGAGAGAAGTCGCCAAGGTGTACGCGGCCTTCTGCGCTCAAATGCTCTCCGTCTGAGCAAAGGTTTGGTAGTACACAATTGTGAAAATCGACACAGGGAGGCTACCCTCTGCAACAGTTGTGCCGTGTAAACCTTGTAGCCTTCACTGGCGGCAGTGATGGCTTCATTGAGGACATGGTTGCATAGTGGGGAGAGGGCCCTTGACGTACGCGTAGCTATGGGTAGAAATACCATCCTGAATGGAGTTAATACTGTAAGGCAGCCAGAGTTATGGGTAGAAATGCCATCCTAAATGGAGTTAGTGCTGTATGGCTGCCAGAATTAGAAGACAACGACTCTACAGAGCTGCTCAAGAATGGCTTGGTAGTCTTCAATAAGAGCATCATGAGTTGGTGCGATATTTGAACAATACTAAAATGTTGCAACTAAGGCTTCCATAGTACATCCGGCTGTGTTTCCACACCTGAAACCCCAGCCGCGCGCATCTCAGGCTGCATCTCAGGCTGCATCTGCAGGTACTTCGGCGGTGGAAATTTCTCCTGTAGGGCCAAAGCTGTCAGATGGACCCTGTGTAGGAGCAATGGACAACGTGCTTTGGGGCCATGATGCTCGCTGCACAGGCGCATAGGAACATTCCTTCAGCCATCATCTGCTTGACACGGCCACATAGTACGGTGTTTTCGTCCAGTGCTGTTCCGGGAGTCCGGGTAGTGTGGTTGTCGTAAAGTGGGGTGGAAGGGACAACGATAACGTACCGGGTTGTCCGACAGAAGCATCCTTCCAAGGAGGATTGCTGTAAGTTAGTGTTCAGTTGCTGGTACGATCCGATACGAACCAACAACTTGCCGATACGTAGTAATTGCTTTGATTAAATTGTCTATACTCGTCTTATTTATTCTAACTGCATTGAGGTTTTTAGAATCTGAAGCCACATTTTCGCATCTCACTTGGGATAGTGCGTACTCCTAACCAGCCCTGGGCGCCCAAAAAGCTAGGGGCGGCTAGTGATGCTAGCAGCAGAACAAGTGCTGTGAATGGGGCTGACTAACTATGCTGCTTCCGGAGAACCAGTCAAGCCCCCCAGACGCCTTAGTAGTAAAGCCCCAGGCCTGTGCAACTTGCCCACCCCCCCCAAGCAGAAGCAGGAGGCATGCTCTTCGTGTAGATCAATGTACCTAAGTTGCCACTGTCACACCAAAAACCCACTAAGTAACAGAGTACCATACATCGTTCATCAAAGCCTGACCGTTTCTGCTGGTGATACGTCAGTTTGTGCTGTTGCTCAGCAGCTTCTGACATTCACATTGACCAGATTCATGACAACATCAGAGTGGCAGACCATCATTTTTGCATGACCATATCAGCCGGCTAGTTTCAATTCCAGACCTCTTAGGGTCATCGATTCTGCAAGTATCGATACGCTCTAGATTCACCTTTCCCGCCGGTTCCGTAGGTATCGATACTTTCCGAATATACTCTAATCTGTACATGTGCAGAGGCTTACCTTTCATTTCTGAGACCTGACGACAATACCGGGAAAAATTGATCAATGGTGCTGATGTCAGGATTGCGAGCCGCTTCAACCGCTTGAGCAGAAAATGCGCCACGTATATGTAAGGCAGCCCAACACTTTCTCAGCACTATCTGCCACGCTGCAATAAACCCTATGCAGTCCATGCATGTATCCTAACTTCCATGCTCATCGACTGCTGATGTCATGAGTATTAATATTTTCCGGGTGCTGACTCTAGGCATGAGTACGCTTTCATATTAGTGTTGTACTGCGTCGACATCCCGGGTTGCCAGATTAAATAGAGGTTGACGTCTGACGCTGTGCAACGTCGGAGATCAAAGGGTGCATGTCATGCAGCTACCATGGGCTAACGAGAGCCCAGGGTCAAAATTGTGTGGATAAGACCTGATATCCTTGACCGTTGTCAACAAGCTGACTCGAATATCCGTATGCCACCCAGAACTTGTCCTGCAAGATCTCAAACTCTCTTTGGCAGCCGTCTGCACAGGGCTTCCGACTGCTTGGTTCGATTATCTTTGAACCAGGCTTAGGCTTCCTGCACCCTGGATAGGGAGGCCTGCACATGTGAACATTATAGGCTCATCTGACCGGTTTCGTTGCAAGCGAGATTCAATCCCTGGTAGCACGCTGCTGCGCACCTAAGACCTGTCCTATGCACCTCTATTCGCGATCCATCCCATCCATCAGTACGAGAATTGCCAAAAAATCTATGACTCCTAGAGGATCTTTCTGTCCTCCCCTTGCTGCAAGCCTTCCGAGGTCTCTGGAACGGCTAAATGCTTCACCGCAACACGTGCGTGGCTCAGACCTTCCTACAGCTTATACTGTTCGGGTCGATTTCTAATTATGCTGCTTCTATATACAAGGATATGGATATTTTGGTCGTTTGCCATCATGCAAGGTCGATCTACTTCGATGTCGACATCAAGGCAAATCAAGGTTTCGAGGCGGCGTTTTTGGTTCCCCATCCACCGCCCAATCAATGTGCTCTTTCTGCTGTGACCGGGAAACTTATCTCCTGCGATTCCGATACGCGCAGACCGTTTCGGCCAACGGATTGATAGAGTTACATTGGTCGTGTGTGTCGACTCATGGGGTATGCGTCTAAACTTACTCCCTATACATCTCTACATCAACCTTAAAGGACTCTTGACGACATGGGGATAGCTGATTGACTGAGTGACTCCTCTCCAATCATCATCCCAACACACGTCAGACCAAGCCTTTCGCCGAGTTTGGTAGATTAGGTTTGTGGCATGGTATTAGGGTATCTTTCATTACCCTCCACAGTACCACGGATCGGCAATGGCTATGCCTGTAAGATGTTGGTGTGTGGACGTGTCAGCCTTTGAAGGTGTCAACATGTGGATGGAGCAGGATTGCCTGATGCATCTGCGATTACTGGATGAGGGTAAACATAACTCTCACCAATCTTCCTGGGCCTTCCTTCTTCGTATCTTGCCATTCACTTCTCTCTGATTTCCATTCAATCTGTTCTGATCACGATTTTCAATTTCTTTTGATCTGAGAGCCATTAACAAAAGGTGAACTGGCCTCACCTTTCTTGCAACTGGCTCCCCTACCTTATCGCAATAAATTTAGTAATCACTTTACCCGGCAAGAGGATACTACAGAGTGGGAGGACTTGCTGGGCGTAAGCCTATATCACGACTCTCTCTCCTAATTACCTCAATATGGAAGGCTCAATGGAAAGAATGCCGATTGCTTGCGTACATTGTGCCAAAGCCAAGGCTAAATGTGACAAGAAGGTACGTTCATACTCATTTTCTCTCAGATAAGCTCTTCTTGCTTTGGGAGTATGATACTTCTAGCATCAAGGATCGACACCATGTCCAATATATATCTTCGACTGATGATCCTCCTTCCAGGTCCCTTGCTCTCGATGCGTCACAAAACAGGTCTTATGTCAGTCCAGACCAACAAGAAGGTCGGCAAACATGGCTACGCGACGGGCAAATGCAGCACGTAGTCGTCCGGAGAGCTTTCAGTCTTCTGCGCGTTTCCATCTGTCCGAGTTCTCTCAATCAGATGCGAATCGCACCATGCCGGGAAATGACATCGATCTCGACGTTTTCAACCTCATGAACAGGGGATGCTCTTTTGGGATGTCTCAGTTTAGCGGCGATGCTTCTCGTCGGTCTCATCCCAACCTTAATTATACAGGACAATATGTAAGTGGGGTTCCTGCAAACGAACCAGAACCAGAGCTTCTTCGGAACGGATTCTCCGATTCGCCACCTGATGTCAGTGCTTCGATCACGCCCATTGAGCAAGATTATCCAAGACTTGATGAACTCCTACATCTTCCCGAGCACTGGGATCAGGCTGCGTATGATCACTTGCTCTCTATGGGTGGAGAGTCAGACTTGTCAACAGCCTTTGACATGGCCAACATCTTAGACTTTATGGGCCCGCAGCAGATGGCAAACGCCTTCATGGAAGCACCGCCCAAGATCTTGCCACATCCATATCGTTCTGCCCAGCCGCAGCAGACATCTCCTCGATCAGAGCCATCATCCATCTGTCCAGAAGGCTCAATGGACCTTGATTCTTCGGCAGAGTCCGTGTCAGGCTCTGGCGTATCGGACGGACTACTCGCCTCGCAAGAGTCTTGGCCTTTCTTTTCTTGCAATCGAGTACCGAAGTCAGGTTGTTTCCCTCCTGCCACCGCAGCAATATATGTCGAAGGCTTAATACAAGTTCTGACTGCGCATGATTGGCCGGTATCACACGATCCACAGCATAGGAATGCCGCCATGACAGCTAATGAGCTCTTGCAGCAGGAGGAAATGCTGGACCCACTTGTCGGTCATTCTAATGATTCGTTGAATGCCGCGGCACGAGCTATTCTCCATAAGGCATGCACCACGCATCGTTTTGAGCAGGGATCAGTGGATAGAGTTGCAAACCTCTTGAATGGCAAGGGAGACCAAGTCGCAATCCAGCTACCTCCACCTGACGCTATCGCGCGTTTTGTCGAAAGCTATATCAGTCATCACAAAGCGTATTATCCTTGTGCCGCTGATCTTACCCGTTCAACGGTGCCGATGTTGCAGTCTAATGTTCAAGCCTCAAGATTGCTTATGCTCTTAACGATTGCTCAAGGAGCGTCATTTATCTCGATCCCATCAGCAAGATATCTAGCAAGCGGCCTGATCGAGGCCTGCCGGCTTTTCCTCTTCGAAAGCATAGAGAAAGATATTCTTTTATCTCGCGACCCTACCGTTCTCCATTCCGCCCTTCTGTTCACTACTGCCGCGGCGTGGAGCGGTGATAACTGGCATATGGACATAGCCATGGGCCAGCGTGGCATGTACATCGCGGTAAGTTTACCTCGTCATATTGTGACAGCAAAACTAATGAATAAAGATGATGAGTCACGCGCGAATGTTTAACGCACAAGAACGACATCCAACAGCGGATGAAGTGCATATTCATCCCACCACAGCGTGGGAAGAATGGAGGACAGCCGAGGAGAAGCGGCGGTAGGCTTCGCTTTTTCTTTGCTCGACGTCCACAAAGTCTAACGTTGTTCAGAATTGCATACTCGTGGGTTGTAGTTGATCAAGAGCTCAGCTTGTTTTCAGACACTACGCCGCTACTCAACGTCGTGGACCTTCAAGTTCCGATGCCTGGCCCAGAGCATCTCTGGGCGGCTCGTTCCGCCGAGGAATGGTCCTCGAGGCGTAGGGAATTATCTGACAACAAGTCTCTGGAAGGCTTGTCTCTCCGCGATCTATTCACGACCTTCGTTGAGGGTGATCTATCTGGCACCGATACCAGGCTTTCGCCGCTCCAACTTCGCTTACTGCTTCATCCGCTGCAGACATTGGTTTGCCAGCTACGACAGTTCCTGAGCTGCCTTCCCGAAAGCGGACGACAATCATTGGGCACGTCCATCTCAAAGGTGGCCATCAAGGCCCGCCTCGAGGAGATATCAACGCTGCTTCGTCAGTGGTACGGTTTCACCGAACGCCACATTAGAAGAGAGGGCAGGACTTGTTGGACAACAAGAGCCAACCTGATCATGTATCATCTGATTTCCCTCAACACCCGTACGAGCCTCGATTCAATTGAACGGTTTGCTCGGGGCGAGGTGCAATGTGCAAGCACTCGGCAGGCGTCCCAATGGTTACAAACACACTGCGTTGATGACGCTGAGCAAATCAATTTTCATTGCGGCCAGATCCTACGACTGGTCAAATCGATACCAGACAACATGCGGCCTCCCTGGTGGTCTGGCGCTGTGTACCGGGCTGCTCTCATTGCCTGGGCGACGAGCATGGCAAGCATTGGCGCCAGACTCTCAATTGATGGCATACCTGAGATGGACAAGCCATTCGCAATCGACGCTCTTGATCCCGAAGACGTGTCCATTACACAGTATCTGCGATACAAGGAAGGGGTTCCCATGCTATCCCGGAGTGACGGTACCCTCGTTGGGATGCATGTCCCTAACCATGTGCTGCAGCATTGCATTTCTATTCTTGACGGAGACCTGTCTATGAGAGCTACCGAAGGTATTATGCGCAAGCTTCAGAGCCTCCTGGATCGACGGAAGCACTCGCCATTTGAGGCGAAATGCTAATTTGTGGTGTTTTGTTGTGACGAATCTTTTTCTACATGTTGAGCGTATGTCTAATGTCGTCATGGGCAAGGGAGTACACGTGGAGATATTTCTCCTGCATTGGCTGGCGCACCATTCCGATCCTTAGGGCACATGGGTGACGACTGCGTGACGACTGCGTGACGACTGGTTGTCGACAGGGTTAAAACTTTTACCTAGACCTCATTAAATGCTCCGACATAATCGGTACATGTTGCGGATTTACTGTCCGAGCTCCTTCTAATACTAAGTCGTTGTGTCTTCACCTGCTAGTGGCATTCGGTGGGTTTTGTTTCTTTGGGGCCTTGCTTACAATGTCCTTTGTTGTTTCGTCGAATGCCGACATGACATGTCCCATTCCACCGAATTTGTTCGGATCTTGCGAACAGAATTCTCTCAAGGCTTGTGTGCACCTCAGCCGATATGAAAGAGGTGGCACGTACTCTCATTCATCAGAGCGATTGACCTCCTTATATCAATCATGCGGCTCTTGCTGAGTTTTGACCTTGAGCGCTCTTATTGCCGGACTCCGTACCTGGACCGCATTTCCGCCGGTAACCCTCATTCAAACGTTCCTCCTTGACTCACTTCAACTCAACCGAGGTCTCCAGCTGGTTCATTCAGCAAGGAGGAGTTAGCAGCACCGGAGCTTGCAGGGCACAGCATAGTCCTCATTGTGCTACCGCTCGTGTATCGGACTGAATTGTCATGTAGCATGAGGAGGCTAACAACGAAACAACGAGCCAGCGAGAAGGGGAGCAGGTGAGAAGAGAGGATTTCTTCCTGCCGTAAGACTGGCGATGCTTGGCTAGAGTTGAGGACGACACGTTGGGTCGGGGGACGAATCACGAAGAAAATTACCACGGTACCTCCATCATCGCACAGTCAGTGCGAAGAGCGAAGTATCGACAACCTGTTACAGGACCGAAACCGCGCTCGCCAGAAGAGGGAAAGGCAGTGGTAACAAAGTACCCTGCCAGCAGGGTTGGTGGCGCGCAAGCATGGGCTAATTCCGGGGGGGAGCAAAACCTGTATTCGGCCGTTTGCAGATCATGGCATGGGAACCGCTGTACGATAAGGGCTCACCCATTTACGATCAATGTACATGCAGCTAAATTCTCCGTATTGCTGGCACCACTGCAAATCCTCCGATCCGCTTTCTGACATCGACGTGGCGTCCTGAGCAGTCAGCCACCCTCTCACAGCGCTCGTGTTTGCCAAACTCTAAATTCCATCTTGGGAAACTGAAGCACGCATGGCTTGGATCATACGATAGCTGAAGATAACTCGTACTGGTGGAAGGGAGGAAAGTTAGGTATCTCGCGGGAGCATTTCCTGCCGGATTCGGTCGATCAGACAGGATATCGAGATGCTACTGCGTGGGGGGGGGGAGGGGGTTTTGTTTGCGGCACTGGTTTTTACGTACTATAGTATAGGACAAGTCTGTTACTAAGTTTGTTTCCCGGGGCGGAGTCCGGACATCTAAGTTGGTTAGTACGGGAAGAAAAGCTCCGGGCTTCCGCGCTCCCAAATCAAGGCCCTCAACTCCGGCGAGTCCGGTAGTAATTCAACCCTCCCTTAAGGTCATTTCCAGCAAAGGAAAATCAGACTTCGACCTCTTCCGGACTTCCACTTCATCTCCAGGCTCGAGTCTTGGGGGAAGAAACAAAAATATGCCCTTGAGATAGTTGACGCCCGGGCTTCCTTTCTTCTGTTGTCGGACCTCCAACACCAGAGGTCCTTCATTTGCAACCTGCGCAGAGACATCGCTTCCGCTACGAGCATGTCATAGATTCTGACCTCGCCTAGCTATCATGGAGAGTCCGTCGTCCTTGAAATAGGTAGGAAAGGCCATTGCTGGACATAAACCTTAGTTCAATTCGTCCACTCAGTTGGTTTTGTCCTAAGATTTTTCTTGATTCCTCTCTGTCTGTCCTATCTTACTGTACCACTTGAGCTCCAGAATTCGTCTTCTCCTATCGCAGCAGTCCTTCTGATTCGCAGCTACTGAGCCCCTTACCCACTTCTTCTCCCTTGGGCATATCTATCTCAAGCACATCCTATGGGTTCCTACGCCAGCGCACCCCCAATGCATCCCGGTACCACGCTGGAAGGCCGTGTCGCCCTCATCACCGGCGCCGGTCGCGGTCTGGGAGCCGGTCTGGCCCTCGAGCTCGCCTCCCGCGGTGCCTCCGTCGTGCTCAACTATGCTCGATCCGCCAAGGCCGCCCAGGGCGTCGTCGCCGAGATCGAGTCCCAAGGCGGCAGCGCCGTTGCCATCCAAGCCGACATCAGCAAAGTCAGTGAGGTGACCAAGCTGTTCGACGCCGCCATTGCGCACTTTGGGCGACTGGACATCGTCATCAACAACGCCGGCATGGAGAGCTTCGCCAATGAGGAAGACGTCACGGAGGAGATGTTCGATGAGGTTTTTGGCTTGAATACTCGGGCGCAATTTTTCGTTGCGCAGCACGGCTTGAAACACCTCTCTCGTATGCTCCTAGCTTCTTCAACCATCATCACCCCACCTATATTCCTAAAAAGGCCCTCCTCTCCTCCCCCTACTAACCAAAATCCAGGAGGCGGCCGCATCATCTTCATGTCCTCCGTCGCCGCCACCATGTCCGGCGTCGCAAACCACGCATTATACGCCGGTTCCAAAGCCGCCGTCGAAGGCTTCACGCGCTCCTTCTCCGCCGATGCAGGCCCCAAGGGCATCACCGTCAACGCCATCGCCCCCGGCGGCATCAAGACCGACATGTTCAGCGCCAACGCTTGGCATTACTCCCCCGGAGCGGATCCCAGCACCAGTATGGAGCAGATCGAGAAGGGGATCGCGAGCCTGTGTCCCCTGGGAAGGTGTGCTGTCCCTGCCGATGTGGCGAGGGTGGTGGCATTTTTGGGCAGCGCGGATAGCGAGTGGATCAATGGTGAGTCCTTCCCGGCCTTGTTCAGTTGACTCTGCAGCTGTTCTCTTGGTGTATGTGCATTGCTTACTCGGAATGTGTGATTATAGGTCAAGTCATCAAGCTTAGCGGTGGGTCGATTGCATAGGAGGATCACTACTCAACACGCATACCATCTACATCTCAATTAAAGGGTTTATTGATGTCAGGAGCAAGTCTGCGAAAAGGGAAAGCTGCATATTGTTAGTAGGGAACTGGACTGCATATTGCCAAGGAGATAAAGGGCTAGATGGTGGGCTTGCCTACAATATAGATGTATCTGTCCCGGGCACTTGGGGAAAATATCGTTATTGGTGTATAGCGTCGCTGTCATGATCTTGTAGTCAACCCTTCTCTTGTCGTGACTGCTTTGGGAGCCTCTTTCCTCTTCACTTTAGAGCCTGTCATGTAGGTTTAATCTCCGGCCTGGTCGTGCAGCTGCGTCATAGACTTGTCGATAGTCCTCTGCGAAATGTCTCATTACATCCAACGGGACTCCAGAGATCACTAACTAGCAGTTATAATGACTCACTCCGGATTAAAGTGGTGTGATCCCCCTTCCCTAGAGGAGGTCTTTGTGGCCCTCGACAGGCCCTCAGTAGTCAAAGTGACATGTCCCTATCACGGGCACACTCTACGACCAGCTTTATATCTCCGTTTGATATGCGCTGGATGACTGGCCACTGCGTGCGCTTTTACATCGTCAAGGCACCCTGCAAGATGCAGCAGAGCGTTTCAGCTTTAGTATAAATGATCGTGCTCAGTGTTTCGCCCAATGGAGCTTGGTGTGTTTTTGAATGGGCAAGTCCGTTGCTTGCCATCCTCGGGGAATGGGTCAGACTTGGTGACAGGGAGCTGATGCTATCATTCTTTTGTGTTGGAGGTTCTGACAATGCTGTACGCTTTTTTTTGAGAGCTGTATTCCTCTCTCTCGGGGAATGAATTGATCCAGTTTGGTAACAGTTGAGCCCCTGCGAGCCCAGACGCCTGGTAGAGAACAAGGATGCTCTGCTAGGGCTGTCTTAGTGGAGCAACCATGGCATGCAAAGGTTTTCCGGGTATTGATTATATGTGCTGGTGAGAGGCGGTGTCCGCTGGCGGGTCTATTATAGTCTTACGAAGTATGCTTTCATCTTTGTGGGTCACGATCTGGACGACGTCTGGGTGGCTCTTCTCCGTCCTCGTCAGGAGGCGACTGGTTGTCTGGGGCTTGTTCTCGCCTCGCAGATCTCGAAGAAGGCGGCCCTCGGGCATTTGTATGTGTTCGTCGTGTGCTCGACGTGACGGTTGTGCGCTGACTCTTGGGTTCGGTATATGTTCGCGCTGGCCTTTGGGCCTGCCGGGGACGCTCGTCTCGCGTTTGTTCCGTTCGCATGTCTTGCGTGCGCGGGACGTTTCGGGGAGGAGACGAGCTTGAGTAGCTGGTACTGGAGGTTAGGGGACGCCGAGACTCGACCGCAGGCTGATATACTGATTCTCTCTGAGCGGGTTGCTCTTCGGTAGCAGTTCTAATTTCTTGGTGTTCGTTTCCTGACACACTCTGTGACAATGGTTCCCGCGTTTGCGTAGCCCTGGTCTGTTGGTCTATTGCCGTAGGAATTGATCTTGAGGACTGCTCCAATGGACTTCTGGTTGAAGAGCTATAAGGGTCAATATCAGATGCCTGGGAGATAGAGATCCGTCCAAAGCGGTCGGCTAATGGCGTCTGCTGTTCGGGTAGGCTCCTTGGTTCGGGGGAATTTGCGTATTGGGATGGCGGCGCTGGGTATGGGTATTGCAATGGTGACGCTGGGTATGGCATGCCAGGAGATGGATAGTACCCAGTCTGCAACGGAGGCGGCTGTCCGCTCCATGCATAGGGTGTCTGGTACTGAGGGACGAAAGGTGTGCTCTGTGTCGCAGGGGTGGATTCACGTCGCTCGGAACTGATCTGCCGGCCTTTTGGACTTATGGCACTTTGTCCAGAGCTCTGTCGGCCCTCAAGCCGTGTTTCCGCTGGAGCCCAGTGCGGCATCTTTTCGCCATACTTTCTTCGAAGTTTGAGTATATGAGCCGAGTCCGCTTTGATGTTTGCTATGAATTCCTGCATATGCACTGTCAAAACTGGAGATTCAAGCTAAAAGATGCTATAACTTACCACAGTGGGCTCCTGTTTAGCGTGTATGAGATATCCTGATTTGCCCTGCGAGAAGTCAGAGTGATGCTGCATGTACGACTCAGCGTGAACAAACATGAAATGTGGTAGGCCTCGCCGATGCAAATCCACCATCGCGTGACACGTAAATCCTCAGCACTTCGAGATCAACGCCTGTCTCTGGCATAAAATAATCGCGGAAGCCGTGACCCTGCTCGGCACTTCCAAACGAGGCTGGGGCATCTGCCTCACAGTTTCGCGGATCGGCGTGCACAGGGCAGGAAGGGGGATGATTCTCGTAAGCTTCTCGTGAAACTGCCTGTCCACCTCGGACACGATCTCCAGCAACGAAGAACCCGTCTCGGTCAAAATACCCAAACCCACAAGGACAAGTTGTATCCCGTAGGTCTTTGCCCGGTTTGTACAAGGGACCACACCCTGAGGGACACATCTCAGCGGTCAGCGGTCAGCTGTATAGCGGCTGTCCGACCCGAGTGATGCGACGAGCTTCGAAGAGCTGCTACGTGAAACAGTGTATTTCTAGCCTGTCCGGACTTTCTCTTTATAATGAAGCGAAGGTATGAAGCAAAGAGGCCACCAGCTGGTGAAAAAGCCCATCGAAGGATTCTGCATGACTTCGATCCAAGACGTTATAGGTATATGTGCCTTCTGCCGTCAAAAGAAGGCAGCCCTTCAAGGCAGTCAATTAGGAGCTCGCGTAAAGAAGATTAGTTTATAATGTGAGGTTACCACGCGAATGCATCCTCGGATTGCAAGGCTACTTTGTGTAACCAGTCACAGGGTGATTGGCGGCACCGCCCCTCGTTCTTCGACCCCCAACTCTGACAATCAACCCCATTGGCAGCCTTCCGGGAAATATCTCTGAAGCCCAACTCAGAAGGTGGGAGCGTTCATGCACAGATGCCCAAAGGAAATGCTCACAAGCACTAATTGTGAGCCGCAGCAGCAGTGCGATGTATAGACATAGATATGATAATAGAGGACTCCGGGATGGAGCTGTGCTTGGGACAATGTAATGCACACAAGGAATGGAGATATTTGAATGTTGCCTAATAGTCAATCACAAGCATGGCCAGCGATGATTCTGGAGCTGTACAAGTTGTGTGGGAGCGGGCTGTTTGCGTAAGCCAATCAATCCTCCTGGCAGCTGTCCCCAACCGATCGTTGTGGATCAGACTATGATTCATTCACTTCCTGCTCAAGCCCATGCCCATGCCCATGCCCATGGAAATACTCATGGTCGTGCTCATGCTCATGCTTATGCTTATGCTCATGCTCATGCTCATGCCTGGAGGCACGTTGACAGATATTCAACACGTCTCTAACGAGAGATCCGCGGAAAAGAATACATACATCAAACTCGAGCACTGGTCTGAAAGCCTGTAGCCTCAGCGACTTGCACAGATCGACGAAGCTAGCTCATGAACGTTGCTATGACAAGCGCATTCCCGGAGCAACAAATTTCAAGAAAGTACTTCATGCAGTTAACAAATACGCGCTTGTCGTAGACGTGTTGATCCAGCATCAGCCACAAGTCACTGCGGTTGTCTGGGGACTGATACGCTTTCTGATTCAGGTTCGTGGGTGTCGCATCACATCCTTTGTTGTTTTGAAGATGAGGCTGACCCACACCCCTACAAGGTTAGTGTTGCCGAGCTCGAGCTCGGTGCCCTCCTGGCGGAGGCTCTGCAAGCGATCTTTACAAGCATTGGCCGGTTCGAGGTGGAGGCCCGGCTCTTCTTCGACGAACCACGAGTCTTGAGCTCCATCGCTGCCCTGTTCTCGCAACTCATCAACTACCTGGTGCGAGCTAATTTTCATTTTGCAAAACGGAACCCGGTTCGGTCCGTTCGCGCTGCCTTTTCTCCCAAACTTAGCCAGATTTGGGTCTCGATAGAGCGCGACACGTTAGACCTTGATCGCGAGATTAGGACTGCGTTAGGAACCCGCGTAGTCCGTTCTACCCAGATTTCGGAAGCCGAGTTCCTGGAGCAGAAGACCTTCCGCGAAGGTGGGACAGTTCCCTGATGTCTAAGCGGTATCTGACACTACTACAGAATGCGGAAGGGCTCTTCGTAGAATCGAAACTTTCAACCCGGAGGAAGAATTTACTGGTGAGACTAAGAAGATCGCAATACTGGAGAACAAGGCTGAAATGTCCAGAATTGAAAAGGATGTTGCTTGACCTTTCCAGCTGTTTGCAATCAAGAGGAAGGGGTATTTCATTTCATAGTGTGGCCAGCATAGACAGAGCTGATCTTTTGCAGCACAAGATTACCAAGAAGGAATCAGTGCCGCCGTTCGATGGTTGGAACAGGGAACCCCGAGAGTAGACGCTATACCTCCACGCGAACCCGGAACGTGTGAGTGGTTACTCAGTGACGAACGATATCAACAATGGTTGAAGACTGAATGCAGAGGAATGCTTTGGATTCATGGCAATCTAGGTGAGGTGCACCAGCCTTGTTGGATCCGCCCAAGCTTGCTAATCCCTTCTAGGCTCGGGCAAATCTGTCCTCTCATCCTTTCTTGCGGAAAGAGCATCGATCTCATCGGACATCGTTCTGACCTACTCCTTCCACGGCTCATTGGATCAAAGGTCTGCCCAGGTTGCTCCATTCATCGTTTCCTTATTGTTACAGCTCTGTCGGAATGATGCTGTTGTTTCCAACCCTCGCTTCCAATATACATTACAAAGAATCACGTCGCTCGTTAGGCGTTCAAACCACAGTCTCGACTGTTCCTTGATGGTGCTGCATTCTATTCTCGAAGATGTCTTCGAATGGCTGCCTGTCTTTGTGCTGATCGTTGACGGCCTAGACGACTGTGCGGAACAAGATGATTCGTTTGAACCATCAAAGTATATACACAAACTCGGCACAAGTTTGAATTCGCAAGTTATTGTCCTTTCGCGTGCCTCGCTTGATTTAGAAGCGGTCTTTACCAATGTAGCTCGAATTTCAATGGACTGCGCCGAAATTGAACACGATATCGAACGCTACCTACAACAACGGATTGACCGGACTCCCAGGCTACATATGCTCAAAGCGGAGATTCTAGCCAAATTTTTTAAAGACGGCGGAAGGATGTTTTTATGGGCTAAACTCATGTTGGATGGTCTTCAACAGTGTCTCGGAACGATCCGCGTACTTCGTGAAAGGCTTCTGCGCACACCAGTGCGGCTCTTCGATCTGTACGAGCAACAAATGGAGCTCAATGGCTCAAAGTTGTGTTCAGAGGCCAAGATCAAACGGGATGAACTCCTACATCTATTGATGGGCTTAAGGGAGCCATTACCAGTGCAAGACATATCAGCAGCACTTGCTCTAGACACCCGCACAAATCTCAACGATGTACAAGATGAATTGATCCAACCAGCAACGGAAATCGAGAGATTGTGCCGCCCTTTAGTAACCGTGATAGGGGATGTCGCCCAATTTGTGCACATGTCGGTTAAAAAGTTTTTACTTGAACGCAAAATGATGTGGGGGGACTCCGATCTCTTCCTGGCTCGAAAGAGTTTAAGTAAACTCAGCCAAGCTCAGTATGCAGACTGGCGTTACGCAGCTAGTCTTCTGAGAAAGAACTTATTGGTCGGGAGCGTCATCATTAATTCACTCGAGAGGTCTTCCGAAGAATCGGTCTTCTATAACTATGCTTGCCTACATTGGCACACTCACGTCACTGCACTGAGTGATCCACCCGAAGATATACTGGAGAAGCTAAAAAGCTTTTTAACGGGGACCGAATTTGTCACCTGGGCAGAAGTGTTGTTTCAGCTGAAACGCGGAGCAGGGCTCGGACCATTGATACAGGTTCGAGTCGTCTTGTCCACCTGGTACCAACGTTTTCCCCGCCTAATCGAACATTGTGTGCCACTCGATCGTTTTTTTGTTGTACCCTACGAGAGGCTTAGCAATGAGCTGAATGAGGTGAGCGAGGACAAAATATTGCCTTACTTACCGTTAGAGCGTCTAGGAGGGTATTTCAACGTTGGAGGCCAATCCGGTGCTGATTGGCAGAAGGCTTACGACTATAAGAGGGCTGTCGCTGATGGCTTCGAAGACCTGCTGGGACCGCGTAATCCATTGACGCTGAGGGCGAGGACATCCATGCTGCAAGAATTCTTCTGGCAGAAGCGATTTCCTCAAGCAGAAAGAGGCTTATGTGAAGTCGCTACGATTCAGCAAGAAGTCTCGGGTAAAGAGGTAGTTGACTACTGGATCACTTTACAGTTGCTCGGTCTTGCGCAATTCTCCCTTACCAACTTCGAAGATGCCCGCAGGACTCTCGAAGAAACCGAGGAAGGCATAGGTAAGCTGGTGGGGAGCTCAGACATACTCTTTCTCATGACAAGGCTCTACAAGGGGTATTTACTCGAGCGCCAGGCAGAGTTAGAACAAGCATCTCAAGCATATGAAGACATACGGAAAAGGTGGTCTCCCGTCATGGATACATCCAATCCCTTCTCCCTCATGTTGCAGACAGCCATGGGTTCAGTAGCCCGAAAGCGAAAGCAATTCGACAAAGCGCAGGAATTGTTGCTTGAAGCCTGGGCAGCCCGTCAACACGTCTTCACCAACAAGATCAACCTCTATGTGGATTCAGCCATCCAACTTGCACTGACATATCGAGAAGCCGGCTGTCAGAAAGACGCTAATGAAGTACTGGATGACATCGAAGGTTCCGAAGTGTTTGACACGGACTTCGAACGCTATTGCCAGTTTATACACCTCCGCGCACTCATCGAGCTGGACGCTGGACTCTATGAGAGAGCTCGACTGGCGCTTGAAACCCTTCTCAATACTGAGCGTGACCAAAACAACAGAGAGCTCTTGTGGGTGCGCCTCGACCTCGCAGATATCTTGCGCGAGCACGGACAGCATGATGAAGCACTGATGGTTTTTGCTGGACTTATCGAGCCAATACCTCCACACGAGGAGCCGAGGCAGGATTCAAGCACCGAAGGTCAAGATCCGTCCACGCCGTCTTCACTTGGCGACGAGCCGGAACCTATCGAGCGCCTCAGAACAGCCGAGGAAGCATTGAGACTGGTCCGAGCGGCCCAGCCTCAGGCTGCTAAGAGGCTGCTGGTTCATCATGGCCTAAGGTGGGTCCGACTGGAAGACTTTTGGATCCTACAAGGCGGTCCCATCACAGACACAGCTTGAGTAGCTGATAGCGCAGGGGTAGGGGGTAGATTCACATGATAGGTTATAACATTTCTCTTCTTATTGCTTAATTTGTCCTCTCACAGTTTGAGTTTTCTGCTGATTGGGAATTGAGCGGGCCTCTGCTGAGCGTTAGGGTCTCTTTTCACTGGTCATACACGAATACTTGGGTCGCTTGCTCTTATGTCTGTCTGGGAGATCTTTTCTCTATTTTCTCCTTCAGCGCACTTTCACCGAAGTTTCCGGCGTTCTTTTGGAAGTCGGAGCAACATCTCGATCTGAAGGTTTAGTGCGCGGATACCCTACTTATTTTGCAACCTGGCACTGCTGTTATTTCAAATGTTTGGTAGGCTGGTCTATGTTTGGGGTTCTTACTGCGAAAGCTGTTCGGGTCTACTACTATCACTACCGATAATATCTCGTTATATTTCCGGGCCTGAGAGGTGGAACACGCGCTGCGGATAAGATGTCATCCCTAATGGTAGGATGTGATCTGGGGTTGGTCTTACTGGAAGTGAGGTCTTAACAAAACATGTACCCGAGGGTTATATTCAACAAGTACACTCTTCAGGTACACCTGCGAACGAAGGTGTTGTCCGACAGCATCTGTCGAGCATATCTATTAAAGGATGTCTGTCACATGTACTCGTCTAGCGGGCCCGACAGGATGCTCTTCGAATTCACCTGGGTGGTGTCCTTGCCCATGATAGCCGTTCGAAGATACATGGAGCTTATTGCGCTAATACATACTCAAGGAGAACATGCCACCAGAGCATGTCTTCGATCTGGAAGCGAGCAACGGAGGCTACGATGGTCTATATTGCAGGTTCCCTAGGCTTCGTGTCCAGGAGGGGAAGTGTGAGGATCTCTTTTGTGTTATAATTTGATGCGGAAGTGCGGCAAGGGGAGGACATAGATTTTTTAAAGGTTGTGGCATGGTTCAACAAGACTGAGTCCTGCAACGGATTCCACACTGTGCAGAGCCATGCCTCAACGCAAGGTGCAGTGCAGAGAGTAGGTGAGGACAGGGTGGCCTGACAAGATTGTGTAGGGAGAGGACTTCATCAATTCAAGCAATGATTACGACTATGTGGTTACCGAGTCATCTCAGGCTCGCAGCTTTAACACGGTGCTATTGTGCCCTCCGGATTGCCTTCTCCCAACTGCTATTCCATGGCTGCTTAAGGTGTACTTTGACCCACTCTCTTCACATGCCCTTGCATGCTGGACCATTGCCTCTCTAGGTAATTTCCATGAGGACAGATGCTCTAAGATGCCCCGATGAAGGCCAGATCTGGATCTTGCTACCCTTCAGTCGTTGCTGTCCTGAGATCTCCTGCAAATGTTCCACCGAGGTGTGATGCGGCATCGCCACAGCGTCAACACCACTTACTTACGGTAGGCGCGTCCGGTATCTTGGTAAGTGATGAGAAGTACCATCCGCTCTGCATTCTACTCGACACTCACCTCCTCAACGCCGCTATGGTCGCCAGCTCACCCACCACCCAGCGCGACCGAGTGATTCGTGGGTGAGCGCTACATGATCATGATTCATGACGATCTCTCGTCAACGGGTCTCCAACATGGCCGTTCAGCGCCACCCTGTTCAACTAAGGTAGGGGAAGGATTTCGATATCAGATCTGCTTCCAATCCCACTCTCTTCTCTCTGTTAGAAGTATGCCATGAAGCAGTGCAGATTAGATTAGTAAGCAAGAGAAAGTAGATGGAATGGATTGATTGACTTTTTATCTCAACTCCTGAGGAGTAGGATGACCGCTATATATATACGCATAGAAGAGGCAAGCTATAGAATCACCTAGAAGGAGATCATAAATCAGCGTTGCAATGCTAACTGCAGCATTTGTGAGTGTATGCGTTTCTGAGTAATAGCGCGTGGCGAACAGTTGCGGTGGTCGGAGAACTCCGTCTTCCGCTGACACTCTCTTCTTAATAATATAACCCCCTTTTTGAATTCCTCTTTTCATAGCTTTTCTCTCTCTTTTTCTTCCCTCCCTGCCTTCCTATTTGATCATATAACCAACTTTGCACTTTGATATTTACTGGTGGGATCCTTTTCAAAATTGTCGAAAAGAGGAAGAGAGGTATGTAAAGAACGGTTTTGGGGGTTGCAGTGGTTATGACTTGATGTTTGGAATTACTAGTAGTATTATATAATTCCTTGTGATCCCTTTTCATAAAAACTGTTTCTCAATATCTTAAAATAGCGTGGCATCTAGAAGAACGTGTCCATGTCCATTATGCATGCTCAGAGACATAAAATACATAGATAAAAATCTCATATTCGACCCATGGCAACGCGGACCTGCAACACATTGTTATCTGTCCTCCACCCGACCCTCCTCTTGAAACTCCCAGAGTGGTATGTATCTGATCCGCCTTTAAGAATAAACCAATAAACATCCCTCGCAGGCCACCCAATCATCCGGTTGATGAGAAATCCAGTCTTTGTCAGTAAAGGGCATCCTAAGGCCTCCCTTTCAATAGATCAAAAATCTGGTAATGCCCGACCTTTAACCAATTTGAGCGGCGACTTATCACGCCCCAGATGATCACGAAACCCCTGGAAGATCAGGCCCAAATCCTCAGGAGATCCGCACAGTTAGTACAAGTTACGGATTTATCTGGCTGGTCCATCAGCCACCACTTGATGTCGGTTCGGTCTGTGTGTGTCACCTCGCCCGCAAGCGTCTGGTGGCTGAGGGTCAAATGCCTCGAAAAGAAGCATGGAGGGGTGTGCCGAGCTGAGGTAAGAATATGCGGCCTGTAAAATAGAATAAAATAAAATAGAATAGAAAAATTAACTTCTTAACGCGGATTCGAACCCGTGTCATTCTAACTAGGTGCTAATCTCATTTATTTGAGCAAAAAGTTCACATCAGTCCTTCTCCACTCTCTACGCCCGAGGGTTGAGTAGATACTGGAAGGAGAGAAAGACATCTGCTATGAAAACTTAGCTAGCTAATCAGATTAGCAGCCGGTTTTACCGCCTGCCGTTGGGCCACAAAGAGTTTGCGTGGGACGACGATGAAAAGATGCGGATTAATATAATATATACATTTATAAATCATGTGTGCAGATCTGGTCGGTGTGTTTCTTCCCTTTCTCTTTGGTCTACGTCTTACTTTGAAATACTACTAGTAGTATCCTTGTGGGTCGCCAACTCTTTTCTACGCGTGGATGAAATCTGGACCTGCCTTACACATGACTTCTTGGACGAAGGCGAGCGGGTATAGTATGCCGGTGGCTAGATCCTTCTCTGCCAGGTCGGCTGCTGAGGTCTGCGAGTTTTGGTACCAGTCTGTCGTTTCCTAAGTACTAGTACTACTAGTACTGACATGATCACCTCTGGGCATCGGCATGTGCAGTGTCAACCATTCGCTTGGATGAGGACGTGGCTGTTGCTCCGTAGCCAGTGTGTCCATTTGAATCAAGTTGAGTCAAATAAACTATATCCGTGCTTTCGTCAAACCAAATCAACATTTTGAAAATTGACAAATTAGTCAAATGGAAGTCTTGACCGAAAAGTCTTTTTTATATTCAGAGTTAACTTTGATGGAAAGATAAAGTCTTGGCGGACTCTCTCTGTGAGATGAAAATCCCTAGCAGTCCCCCTAACAAAACACTGCTCATTAACATTTGACTCCATTTAACAAATAAGGTCAAATTGAATCAGTCTCTAGGGTTAGGCAAGCAAACCAAATGAGGAACATGATTTGGTTTATTTGATTTGATGAGGTACACTGTCCGCAGCTGCGTACCAAAGACCAAGTTATTCAATTGACTCACCCCCATTGTGAACTCTCCGTCCTCTGTGCCGATTCGCTGGGTGATCGCGCTCTGGGTCTGGGAGCGCTGATCTAGTGCTGTGATGTTCGTCAAGCGAGATAACATCTCTACTGACATAAAGAGCATTTCCAATGAAAACACCTCTCCAGCACTGTTGGTCAGAGGTTCCCATCCTCTGTTGATGAGTCTCATGTCTGGTCTCAGATATGCCTCCTGCAGTGCCCAGAGCGAGGAGAGCCATACGGGTACCTCATACCAGTCTTCAGCGTCAATCCATGTCTGGTCTCCTTCGTCGGGCTTTGAGGGTTTAGACCGAGGATATTTCCGCTGCGCTTGAAGAGTAACTTACGATGCGGCTGCAGGTACTTCTTGTGCTAAGGAGAATGTGTCAGCTGAATGGGGTATCCAGCAGCTTTTATGAACTCCTTCAGCCACTCTCCTAGAACATTTTGTAGATACTGACCTTCAAGTGTGGCCAAGCACAAATATACGGCGCCGATATAATTCAGAGCAGCTCTCTCAGCTTCCCAGTCATCAATGTAATCCAGCCATATGGCGCAGTGCTTCGCATTTTGGAAGATCAACGCTTGCCGACTGATCCCCTGCTTTGCTCGTAACGTAAGCTCCGGCTTTGAACCTTGTTGTAGAATGCAGAGTAAGTCAAACCACACGTACTTTGTCTTCATTCGATCTGCGTACAACTTCATGATTTCTGGCAACCTCTCAACCAAGAAGATTGTGTTGCCCTGAACCTTCCACCATGAAAGTCCCGGAATACGAAGAACGCCTTTTGTTCTCCACCTACCCCAAATATGGCTTATGCAGCAGTGTTGAGGTTTGTCAGGTAATTTGTTAGTAATGACTGTCTTTTTCTCGACTGCGTCACAGAGGTAGGAGGGCATCTCATTTTTAAGCCTGGTTTCCCAATAGCCAGGGAACCACATATATCGTCATTGGTGGTGGCAAGGGGTTGCCGTGGTTCACCATGACTTACCTCAAAGTCTTAAACAAGTACATCTTGTGGGCAATCCGCTGGCTGGCAGCCTGTATCAATGCTCTACGCCGACGTGGCTCTTGTAGTATTGAACCTTCGACTCCATATTGAGGATCTTATGATGATTTGAACGGCACGAATCCTGTGACGCGGACATCAGAGAGGAAGTGTTGACAGGGTGATGTTTGGTAGGGCCTAATCCCAAACGCAACATGTTGAACCATCTGAGACCACTCATAGGGTAGATAGGCATCGTTGCTAATCGCATCTCGGATAGGAGTCTGATTGACAAGACCCTTGTAGTCACTCATTGATTAGACGCCATGAGACGGGCTGGGAGAGAATTGGCGAGTCCATGAAGCGCTCTGCTTACGTTTCATCTCCGTCAATAGCTTTCTGAATAGTTCGAGATTGGATATGCCTCTTTCTCATTCGACAAAGCTCGAACGTATTGGTTTCGACGTCATAACCGTAGCCTTCCCATCGTGTCATCGAATGGGCCAAGGACAGAATGCACTTTGACCCCTAGGGGGCATACAGACCAAAAGTCACTGTTTGATGCCATGACTGACCGGCTCAAAGACAGGTCCATGAAAGTTTGCAGAATCGAACTTGTGTCGACAGAGCATGGGTCGTGATCTAGATGCCTAATAGGACAACACTTGATTTCCTGAACAGGGGCACTCGTGGTGTGGCTAGACTTGATTGGTATTGCCGCCGCCTAGGAAGTCTCATTGACCGGATAATGATGCTAGCCTGATGTACTCTGACCTGCGTGAGTAGATGCACACTCGTTGCCAAAATGTTCTTGCTCGAGCATAATAACGGTGCGCAGTGTCAGAATCCCTGCGTATATGATACGTATCTGTTACGTATTAGCATGATGGTACAAGGGTCCCCGCATGCAAAACGCACGAAACGCTCTTGTAACTGTTACGCCCTGTTATTTATGGCAGTGAGCATTGCTATACGAATTGAACGCCAAATGCTGTTTCTGAGCTGTTACAGTAATGCGCTTCTATATTATTAGTATGAGCAAATGCTCCTCTTGATAGGAGTAACTTAATCAAGTGAATTGGCACCTCCGTACGCTGTTTGCTACTACTTCTAACACGCAGTAACATGATGCCATGATTTAGGGCTGTCTAGGCGGACACCTACACTATATGCCTATTTTTTATAACCTCCTTGGTTGAAATATCTTACAAACGCCTTTTTTACATGCATATCCCTGTCAGCATCCCTGTCGCTGTTTTGCACGAATTTTGTTCATCATCCATCTTTCTGGGCATAAAATGACGGTAATTCCATGATTGGTGCATAATCGCCACAGACGAAAACTTTAAAGTGCATTAAAGTTGAGCTGGTGCCAGGCCATTGGGGAGCAATCACGTGAGAGACTATCTTGGCTGCGGAAATTTGAGCCAATAGCAATTAACGTCATTTTATGCCAGAAAGATTGATACCAGAGTACACTACTACGTACAGTACTACGTACACCGAATCAATCATACCAGAGCGACGACGAGGTGTAATACACAGTATTGTACAGCTGTCAAAATAGACTAGAGGGCTCGGACGGAAGAACTGCAGTTCTCTTGGAGCTGCACTGAACATCTTATATTTCAACAACAACTCAGTTTTGATACAATCTGCAGCTGTTACCTAAGTAACACGCCATGGAGAGCTTGCCAACCGTGTCATAGCCTTCAGAATTTGACGGTCTTCCCTTGCCGGCTTTACAACCAATCAGCTCCCTTCTCCTGGGCATTAGTAATAGGTTGGTTGATTGTATGGACTTGGGTTTAGTCTTTGGTTCAAGAGCATTCAAAAAGACTTGGCGGACTTCGAAATTACTTGATAATGCTGCAGCGAGCACGGGAACTTTGGAGTTACCGTGAAGGCATACCAAATCTATCAAGGAAGGGAGGTAATTTGTCATCCATCAATGGTAATCGCGAATATCATAAGGTTACACTTAAGCCATTACTTTAGGTGTCTGTATTTATTCGTATGCACGTCGACGATATGACTTTTTATTCAGGCAGGCAACTGCTATCCATTTTATGAAGTGATCGACGTCTACTATACAGTACCGTCTCATGCCCAGGGCAGGCTCAAGCCAGCAGCAAGCAAATTGAGTATAGCTTATACTAAACTGGTCGCGAGGCGAGCACACGGCTACCGACAAGGGCAATGATGGTAATAGAGAGTTCATGAAACTCGAGGTTGGCTCTCGAGCCTTTACGACAAAGGGCCGTTCAGAGTGAGGGAACCAGTTGATAAACCAATCCAGTATTTCCTGAGCAGGAAAGTGCCTTCATTGCTGCAAGTCGTGACCGGTGACATTTCCTTTCCTCCGACCCACGTGTTTCACACAAGAGGCTTGGAAGCCATGCATCAAGCAGATGGTTCCAGGATGTCGAGATATGTGAGTAGAGATGGAGATATACAGACTCAGATTTGCGCAGACAGCCAAACAGGTAGAGACAACCACCGTGGGGGGAATCAAGAAATATAATCCAACCCGCCAAAGTATTCGAGCATCCTAAAGCATAGACCCACATCATCACCTGGCTCGCCACCAAAAAGTTGGATCTGCTGAGCCTCGAATTTGGCAGCTTGTTCTTTTCGAATGCGGTCTTGCTCCAGCCATGCTGTGTAACGGTTGGGGCATAGCTTCGCTGGGATGCTTGAGCGATGGCGGATGGTCGGGTCCACGGTCAAAGGGTTGGGTACGGTGATCGAGCTAGGTGGCGCACAAGCGGTAGAGATGATGCCAGGTTGCGATATGATGAACTGATCAAGCGAATGATGACTGGACGATGCCTTGTGTGTGGGGCTGACTTGTTGTGTTCGCGGGCGTCTCGTGCGGCGACGATTGTGTCTGTGAGCCATGTTCCAAGGAAGGGGGAATCCTATCTTCAGGCTCGGAGAGGGAGAGTGTCGGCCAAAGTAGGGAAGGAAAGGAGAGAGAGAGATGTACAGAAATACTGTTGACATAGGAAACAAGCAGCAATCAATATATAATGTATTCTGGCTAAGGTGTAGCATGACTGTACCGTTCGAAAAGCGTCGAGTCAGTCGTTGGTCAAACGAAATGAGTCACATGCGGACGGTAGAGAAAGGATTTTCTCCAAGTCAATGGTTGACGCCTTTGGCAGATTTTTTTGGTCTATAGCAACGATGATTGTTCGACGTGGCATGTGGCAGGATGATTCCGAGACGTCTTGGCCAGTGAGTCACGGAGTTGATTGCCACTGTTTCGGGCCTCCAGCACACTGGCCAGGCGGTCATTGTTTCAAGACCACCACCCATTGAGGCTGCAGTTTCGGTAAAACATCAGTCATGTTGCAGCAGTAAAGAGCCGGTTTCAAGGTCAAAAGCAGATGCCCCCACGTCTACAGAGTAGTTACCAAGGTCGAAAAAGAACCAACAAAAGGAGAAGGCGGCAGATTTTACGGAGTACACCAGCCAGGCAAGATAATAAATGGCGCCTAGACTGGGCCCAGGACAAATCATGTTGACCTTTTGGCATAGATAATAGTGTCAAGATGAGTGAGATAGTCAGCATGGCTTCTACAGGCAGGTATCCCATATAATCTGATAGACCTTGCTTTGCCCAGGGGCGACACCAAACATGCCAATGGGATAGTTCTGGAAATGAAGACCAAAACATGCCTCTCCCCAGCGAGCAGTTACTTTATCGACCACAGCAATCCAACAGCAGATTGCTTGCTCCTTTCATGGTCAACCGTAACCTACTGTTCTTCGCTAAAGTAGAGTTGATGAGGCCTGAATGCCTGCCGCCGACCCTGAATGAATTCAACAGGGCAAGGAGCTTTCTCGACATCATATTCCCACGTCAGAACTTCAGAAGGACCGATGAGGAAGAGAAGCAGACGGACAATAACCTTGTGACGAGAAAATATAAATCTGTTGACAATGACCGGGTAATGAATTGTGTAGGTCAGTTTTAAACTATGTACATGAATGTCGTGTTGATCGTGATGGACCAAAAACGACACACCCCTGACCACAAATACAAATCTCCCTCAACGTCACATCCAGCCATACTTTTGTGTTGTCTCGCCCCGCCAGGGACGTCGAAAAGTAGAATCATCAATACCGTACAAACGCTGATAAGTGCCAAATCGATGTAACATTCATCACTCCATAGTCGCCCGTCACTGTTTCGATTTGCCCTCCGGCGCAGAAACAAGTTGATGCCAAGAGATCAATAGGCTGCTCCTCAAGTCCATATCGAGCCCGAAATGTCGTCCTTTGTCCTTTGGTTATACCCCATCAGACGGATTCGATATGGAGAATAGCATGGCTCACAAGCTTCACGAAAGAGGAGCTAAAGCAGGATCCATCGAGAGGGCCTTCATATATCCTCCACGATATTGACAGGTGCGGTAAAGCGAGGCGAAGGGGTTGGTGAGGCGGTAGTTTTTGGAACAGGTACTGGGCCAGGATCCGTGCCCTGATAGACTTGGGTCTCGGGGACTTCCGTCTCGATGGCTTGGACCCCTGCGTTTATAGGCGCCAGAGCATCGTCCTGTGCTTCAGGAGAGGCAGAGACGAGTGTAGCAAGAACAGCGGTGACGGCGAGGATGATTTTGCCGAATGAAAGCATGATGCCTGTTATTGCGAAGTTATGGGGATACGAGTGATATTTGCTAGAGCAAGTTAAAGGAACGGGGGTGAGCAGGAATTAGTTAGGCAGTAGCGAACGACGGGCGAGAAGATCTGACGGAGTGAACAGGTAAGAAGTGGTGAGGAGTCACTTATCAAGGAGGGCTGAGCTGCTGAGGCATTATTTCCTGCCAGCCATGATGAGGAATACTACGTACTGATCAGGGGCCCCGTGACTAAATAAACTTTACCTAGGAAACTGCATGGCTAACTAGTAGCTGGGCAACAAACTGTCGGAACGGCAACTCGGATCCGGACTCGCTAACCGATTTTCGCCTCTGCTGGTCTTACGCAATCGCGGGTGGCAGTCAAATCAAATCTGTAGGAGAGCCCACAATTACCACTAACGTCCTATACGGTTGCGTGCAACATACGGTCCCGTGCAACACCAAATTTTTACAACGCAATTTGAGATACAACTTCAAACAGTCATCATTTCGTCACCACAACCAATTCTCTTCGAAACAGGTCCAAATTGAAGCTGAGCATCCTATCTATCTATTGGTACTCATAATGGCTGACAAATATGCTGATTTATCCAGTTCTGAGCGTGTGGATGCAGCCGTTCAATTGCTCCATGAGAATCCTTCATTAAGCCTGCGAAAAGCAGCCACTATCTGCAATATTCATGCCTCCTCTATTTCTCGACGTCAACGAGGTCTTACAAGATCTACGAAGGAAGCTATTCAAGAGCGACAGCTGCTCACACCAGCAGAAGAGGCTATTTTGATCAAATATGCCCTCAAATACAATGATTGGGGTGATCCCCTAACTTTCGTTCCCTGATTAATGCAAACATGCTTGGCGAATGCTTTCTGAATAGTTAGGATTCAATAAATCCAAGAATTTCACCTCTGACAATTGAATACTGACGCCCCCGACTATCCCTATTAATCATTACAGCGGTCCTAGAAACCAACAAAATAGAACTGCTGTCCTATTCCATTATTCCATGCTAATGTATTCGAGCAAAGGCCTGCTTTGAACACTCTAATTTTTTCAAGGTAAAAGTCCTGGTTCCCCACTACGCCCAACAAAGGACATAGGATTCCCCAGAAGGAAAGGCCCGACCGAATCCGTACAACGTTTAGGAAGACAGATCAGCCAGGCCCAAGGTTCAACTACGAGCTTTTTAACTGCAACAACTTTAATATACGCTATTGGAGCTGGAATTACCGCGGCTGCTGGCACCAGACTTGCCCTCCAATTGTTCCTCGTTAAGGGATTTAGATTGTACTCATTCCAATTACAAGACCCGAAAGAGCCCTGTATCAGTATGTATTGTCACTACCTCCCCGTGTTGGGATTGGGTAATTTGCGCGCCTGCTGCCTTCCTTGGATGTGGTAGCCGTTTCTCAGGCTCCCTCTCCGGAATAGAACCCTAATTCCCCGTTACCCGTTGAGACCATGGTAGGCCACTATCCTACCATCGAAAGTTGATAGGGCAGAAATTTGAATGAACCATCGCCGGCGCAAGGCCATGCGATTCGTTAAGTTATCATCTGCTATGGATCGAAGAGGATGTATTTGAATAAGGAACTACACCATAGATCCCTATTCTATTTCCTATTTAGGAAGCTTGTATAGCTTCAATAATGTCAATAGTGAGCTGAATTCGCTGTAACAGCGCCGGCGAGGGTTGTGCCAAGCAATTTTGTTGCACGGGACCGTATGTTGCACGCAACCGTATAGGACGTTAACGCATGGCGTGAGACATTCACCCCGATCGGTACGTCAGGATGTACGAAAAACACCACACAAATGCTCGGATTTTGTAAGACCGGAACCAGTTTTGGCGTGCAAATGCAACGTTGGGATATATCGATGGCTAAAGCTCACAAATCAACAGCGCTATTGATCTACTCACAACTCCTGCACAGCATAGCGGAGTGCCTGCCCTATCAGAAAGGATTATCTTCTCAGCATGGAGGCCGTCTTACTCGTACCCAGGTTATGAATATTTCTCGGAAGAGCCTGGAGGGACTTCAGCCGCCAGAACCTTGCAAGAGGCTGGTTCGTTGAGGACAGACCAGTTGTGAAAGAGCATAAGTTACGCACTACTTTAGTAGTAGCACGTGGTGGCAACGTTTCGTTTCTAAATAAAGTGCAGAGCGATCACCAAGACAAGCTCTGGGCCGTCAGTGGTACATGATTTGCCACGATCAGGGGGTTGGTCTCGGTCTTCTTCGCTTTATACGTACATGTAGTACTCGTACTATGGATCACGAAAAGAGCCCGGTGATCCTGAAAGGACAGTACCTCTTCTCCTGGCAACAAGGGGTATGGCATGACACCATCTATGGTGGCATGCCATCTTTCGTGTCTGCACCCGGCTAGAAGCTGCCAGCCAGAGTGGGTGTTACAGAGAAACGAACTGCAGAACCAGTACATATGCATGTTTTGTCAAGTAACTGATTCTGTTCTTTACAATCATGAAGTTAATTTTGTCCTGTGAATTGGTATGGACAGCAGAATTGGTAGCCTATTAGCACAAGGGGGTATTGAGCAACACGAAACAGAAAGCCGCCTGTAGCTCCACGCTCCATCGCCAATCTGTAGGTACCGCCCAAAGGACCCGACGCAAGACCAAGAACCGAAGGCTCTGTGCAGCAAGAAGAATCAGCAAAAACATCCATCACGCATACTCCCTTTCCCATGCTTCCGTCAGTCCTTCAATACCGGAGCCGACCGACCATCCCAAACAACCAAGCCGCCTCAGCTTCACCCATCATCTGGATCATGTAGGTTCTCCCCTTTCCACCGACCACGCCTCCACTCTTGGCCACCTCTTCGTGCTCTTCCCAGACGCTGACGGCAATACCCGTGCGGGCAACGCGCTCGAAGCAGCTCTCATGAAGGGTTGCGTCTAGAAGAAGCTCGCCTTTGGTCTTTCCGGTGATCACAATCCGCTTCTCATTACCATTGCCATGCACGCGGTGAGGGGTGTGATTCGAAGATGGCAGTCGAGGTCCACGGCTCCGGCCTGGCTGTCCGACAATTAATGTAGAGGGCGGTCGAGAGCCAGCGGTGGTTCCGGGAGGTGACGAGTCATTGTCTGTTTGTGCGGCCGACCCATCTGCAATACTGTTATTGATGATCGGAGCTGGCAGGACGCTCAATCTGGCTGCTCCCATATGCCTCCACTTTGCACCCGACTCGCGTAGATACAGCCGAATCTTTAAGTTGTTGATTGTGCCAATAGGAGCTGTCGCTGCGGCTGCGGCTGTTGTCTGATCTGCTGTGGGAGAAACTAGACCCAATTGACTCGCTGCAGGACTGTTCGCACCACTCCCCGAACCTCCTGTCCCCGTGGTCCCACTGGACGAAGAATACAACGAAGCAGAAGCGCTGGTGCCGAAACGTCGATTCTTACGGATAACCGAACTGCGATTGAGATTGAACATTCCCTTGCCACCGGTTGCTCCACCCGAGAAACGACGAAGAGCACTGAATGCACTGCTCATGCTTCCAACGCTCGTCTCAGAATCGCCCCCAATGCTTGGAGGCCGAGAAACTGGTGCAGAGGAAGCACGGTAGGATGATCTTCTTCCAAGACCCCCGAGTCCGAACCACGAACCAGATCGGGACCCAAACCTCGAGTGCCGCGCTGAGCCTGGTCCGGTATTGAACGTGGCATCTGGCATCTCTCTCGATCTCGCCCGTTTCAACGCCTCCCAAGTAGGATTGTTGATTCTCGCGTGGTTGATCATGGCGTACAATGCCTCACACTCCTCTGCATTACGAGACCGGAACATGACATTGGTGCTTGTCTTGACTTTTGACCGAGTAGTAGATTCCGATCTGATAGAGATGTCCAATGCGGTACCACGTCGAAGGGGGATCAGCGGTGTCAGCTCGAATGCAACGAGTGGTCGAATCCCCTGATCATCAGTCTCTTCGCAGGACGAACCGTCTGCTATGGTTCCACCATCATTCTTTGTTTCGCCACCACTATGTGCCGCAGACATTTCGTACGCCTCAATAAGACCCGGTGAGACTACGACAGAGCACTCGTCGGGATGTAGATTCTCCCAAAAGCCCTTGTTTGACCATGAACTAACCGTCGCGACTGTTTTGAAAGTGGTTGCATTTGATTGGAGGGAAACGCGAGGTACCGTGCGGTAAGGAGCTTGAGAGGCCGAATTCGAGGGAGCTAGTGAACCAGCTGGCAAACTAGGCAACGAAGCTGGAGGCGGGACTCTGACTGGTCTTCTGAACTCTGCTGCCTGAATAGGTACTAATGGTGTGGGTCTATCGCCTCGCTCAAGGATACCGTCGGTCGATGTCTCCGACCCGGAAGAAGTAAACGACTCATCATCAGACTCATCAGACCCGGATGTTGTGGAAGGCGCGTACTCGTGCTTCAGAGGTGAAGACGAACGGCGATCGTCATGTCGACCTTTATGTGAAGAGGGTTGTTGAGATGTTAGAGGCGGCACGGCTTTAGCACTTCCTGGACGAGGAGCTGAATTATATGAATGTGGGATCGTTCCAGCTTCAGTAAATTGAGGAACTACTGGGGCCTGGCTTTGTAATCGATGAGGTGGGGGAGTCGGGATATCGTTTGCAGAGCACATTCCAGGATCTGAAGGTCGACTGTCGATCTTGTTTTCTAGTATACTAGCCTTAGGTTGGCTCTTTTCTTGCTTCGACTTCTTCTCTGCACTAGAGATGGCAGACCACTTTTCTTGAATTGATTGTGTCAGAGGTATGCTTGCTGGACTACTCGGTCGGAGTCGGTGGACGGTTGGTAACTCCTTGGAAGGTGTTGAAGAAATTGCACGATGATACTCTGGTCGCTGAGGGTTAGACTTGGCATCAGGACCGCATTGCGAAATGTCTGGTGTGACGTTCTCTTCTCGATCCGGAGACGCAGATCTCTGAGCATATGGCAATGTCATCCATTCTCGTGAGGCGTCGTCTGTACGACTAATCTTTCGAGCGCCGGTGCTTGACGCAAGTTGGCTGGGTAGTATAGGAGAGCTGGGTACCAGGGGTGTGCTGGAGACAGTTTCGCCAAGTCGAGTTGGCCTCTTTCTAGCCACTTTTGCCCGCCTCAAACCAGGACTAGAAGTATCAGATGAAGGAGCATGGGGTGAGATGACCTGCTCATCCTCACATGCCAAATTCGGTATCATTGGCAATGCCTTGGCCTCTTTGTTGAGCGGTGTTTGAAGAAGTGAGTGCTTGTAAGGCACATTTTCTGATTGGATTTGAAATACTTGATCATCTTGATAGACACTAGGAGCTGTTCTCGGTCTGATGTCCTCGTCGCTACCAACAACGGACTCGCCGATTGGTATCTCCACCTCTTTGGCAGTAGCATATTGTGGTATCAGTGGGAGACGCTTTTCATCAATTGTTCGCGCTTGGCTTAGAGGCAGTATGTCTTTGTTCCGTCCGTTCGTGAAGCTCGAGGTTCGATTTAGCTTTGGGGGAACTGGCTGTGTTGCGAGCATGTTGACCCATTCTGTGGCAGTCTCGATATCGCTGGTGTGAAGTAACAGGAGCTCATGCAATTCCTGTCCATAGCTGGCAAGCCCTCGAACCATGATCACAATCTCACCGTGGTTGTCACCATGTCGTGCAGATATTGAGCCACTCTCAAGTGGAGGAAATAAGAGCCATATCCCATTGTTTTCGACCTCGCAGATCAGCAGATCTCCACCTTCAGTAACTCCTGGTTGATCTTCACGCAGGAACAGCTCGATTTGGCAGTCTAGGCGTTGTCCACTGGAGTGATAGAATGTGAGGCTGAAACAATCACGAGCTTTCACTCTTCTGCTCTTGTTGATTTTGATCCCTGAAAGCACAGCCAAAGTCCGAACATCCCTGGCCTTTGTTGCATCGACGTTGGCTGCAGCTTCATCCTCAAGCCGTGATTGTTCCTCATGAGATCGCATGCGTGCTGTTTTGATCAGATCATCGTATTGCTCTGCTACAGTGGACGACTTTGAAGATGGTTTCAAGACCTTCAACCGTGCAAAGACTTTTGCCAGTTTCTTGATCCTCACTAGAGGTCTCTTTAGCAAGTAAGCAACGTCAACCTTCTTCCCATCACTGTTGACCACATCCCCATTCTCATCTCTAGCCATACCTTCGTCTATCTCAGCGTTTGTGTCTTCGTTAGGAGGAGCAAGATTGACAATAACGTCTTGAAAGCCCAGTCGCCAGGCCTTCAGATATTCGATGTAGACTTTGTGTGCGCTCTGTGCCCAAGAAAAAAGTGAGTTGAGGTTGCTGGTTGGAATGCGTTTGTGCAAAGTTTTGAGTCGTTCAAGGGCTACTCCCATGTCAACAATCGGTTTAGTGAAATTCAAATCATCGCGAGCACTTCCCGAAGAGGAAAAAAGACCAGCCGCTGCAGCTGAGTCTGATTTTGACAGAACACACTGCAATAGAACGGGAATAACACCATCCACCAACGTTTTGAGCTCCCGCATATACTTCGCCTCGTCTACCTCTAGCTCTTCAAATACCTCACCCAAGGTCGCCATTGACATACGGCTCTTCGCAGTACGGACACTTCTAGCAGACTTGATACTACCACCAGCTCTAGGTAAGGAGAGGACTGACATGAGGTCCTCGTGTGTAGTTAACCGACGTTGAAGACCATTGCTGTCTCTTGGCTGCATATTTGCACCATCTTCAGCTTCTGCCTGCGATCGAAACGTCTCAACTGAAGCTATAGTCGACAAACGATGCATACCCGTCGGTGGACATGGTCTCGTGTGTCTTGGTTGAATTTGCCTTGATGGATTCTGTCTTGATGGAGCAACCTCTGCCTCAATTATGGTGGTTGAGACCGATTCCTGGCCCGGTTCATAGTCAGGAGTGGTCTGTTTCACAGGTGAAGAACCTGTTCTACTCCGCAAGGCTCTGGCTCCTCTCCTCTTTAGGCCGTTCGACACTGCCTCTTTAGGGTCTTGATCTTTATCTTGTGACCTTGAAGAGACTCTTAGGGTCTCCTCGCTCACTCGCACAGCATCTGTGCTATCGGGAGAACGAGGACCGGCAGCGTCTGGAGATCTGCGAGATTTTTTGCGTCTCCTTCGTCCTAAGCTGGTGACCCGATCTGGCTTGTGACTCGCCGACTCAACATAATTCCAGATCTTGTTCGGATCTTGCACGGCCTTTGGGCTAACCTCGATCTTTGGTTTACTGGATCGAGTCTTTAAAGGCGCTGGAATCAGAACAGGTCCAGGATCACCCTCAATGAATGGGTCTGGCTGTTCCTCTAGCCAAGCTTCAATGCTTGGTAGTCTCTGAGATGTTGGTTGCACAGGCTCAGTGCGAGCAAGCATCTCTTTATCATCGTTACCGATGCCATCCTTTCCGGAGCGGATGCTACCTGTCGGAACACCTAAGAATTGCTGCGCTGTTGTTGGTGGCTTGTCTAGCATCGCGGCATATTGACTTCGCTGAACAGGTTTCTCTTCCGTTCGAGACGGGGACCTAAGGCTCTTCCTACGTTCCTTGGTCGGGTGCGTCGAAGGACGCCTGTCCTGAAGTCGTCTCGGAAGGCTGTCATCCACTCCGCTATCGGGGTCTGACTGAAATGCGCTCTCTTCATTGCCCAAATGCGGTCTGGGGCTGGTTGAAGTATTGTCAAGCTTAGTCTCAGCAACTGCATCACGTACGGTGCCGCTCTCAGTACTCGATCTAGGATGTTTCCTCCGCTGGCGCCTTTCCTCCCTCTCAATCCTCGACGAGCTGTGTTTGAGTACTTCTGAACTACGCTTCTCCTGCCGTGTCTCCTGCCTTGGTGTAGAGCCCCCAGATCGAGGCGACGGCTTCTCCTTCTGCTGTTGTTTCTTCTTCTTCCAGTGCTCATCGCTTATGACGCGCTTTCTGGGTGTGCTGCTGCTGCGGCGCACTTCTCGGATCCATTCTTTATTATCTGGGTCTACCCATCGACCAGTTTTTCTTCGCGGAGTCGTGTCGGCGCCTCTTGTAACCTCTCTCGCGCCTGGTGAGGCGGAGCAGGGCGCTCCGGCACCAGCATTTTCATCACCCACGTCCAAGACGTCGTCGGTCACTGGCGTGGACACAACCTTGGCTCCTTGCTCCTGCCATTGTCGGATACGGTCTTTAACTGAATTAGTATCAGATAAGCCCAGAGGCTTGGAAGATAGTGCGTCGTGTCTAACTGGAGTGACAGGCGCACCGCGGCGATTCTTCGATGAGCGTCGAGGTGTTGCAGGGCTGGCCGGCATTGCAAGCGCGGTCAAAGTCCTGCTAGCTGGCTAATTGGCTTGAGACACCACTAAAATGGCGAGTATCTCTTCGCCATCTGGAACAGGCTCGTGTCTTGGTCTCGTGGCTCTAGCTTTCGAGCCTTGAGGTGAGGTGTCAGATTTGTTGAGCACTGAATCGGTTGAAGGCAGGCAATACTGCTCGTTATACGCATCCCAAACGACAGTCGCAAGAAGAGACACTAGAGATAACCAATAACAACAAGTCACACTATTTTCGAATATAGCTACATCAGAAAACGAAGATCACAAAATGCACATTGCACATCCGCAGATGGATAGATAGATGGCGTAAGCTGTGCATCTGGCGCGTACCCGGAACGTTGCTCAGGCAGCCGGAAAGTCTAACTAAGCTACAGGGTGCGCCAACTGTGGCGTATGCCTGTTTGGGACATCCGGATCCTCAGTCACGGGTTCCCACCACTACGGGAGCGCTAACTAGCAGATGTGAATGCTACAACTCAGTGGTGAACGTCAAGTATTCTTTACAGCAGAGAGTGACTTCCTTGCAGCAGAAAGCATGTGGCCCGATCATACTACGTATTCTTCTGCACTTTCATGGGATTATCGCGTTTGTTTACTGTTTCAGCAATCGTGCGGCATTCCCATAACACTGCAGATGCAGGGACCGGAGGACCTTCACTTGCAAGGGTTGCTAGCCAAAAGCTTGGTTTTCCATCTTCATCTGTCCAGATACTATCAATGGATTGCTCTCTATCTCTGTCTAGGGTTCAGAGGGCAAGATGCAATTTCACTCACTCAAAGCAATAGAGAACACTCAAGATTAGTCCCTAATATCATCCACTGCACCGTTCAAACCGACTCCAGTTGTACGCGAAATGCATGTCGCAAATATCAGGAAATCATATGCGCGTCATATATTGCATCATCATGTCTATGAACTCTTCACATGTCCACTTATGCTCGGTTTCTTGGCAGCACCATTCACCTGGAGAGTATTTGACATCTTGTGAAGAGCTGCAAACGCCTGTGAGGTCGCCTCAATACTTTGGTAAAGAAGGGCTGTAGGATGGTCAGCAGAGGAACAAAAGCAAGCACAGAATATCTTACCGCCAGGAATCACAATCCATATAAAGTTCATGAAGAAAAAGTAAAACCAGAAATAGTAGGCTTCTGGTCGGCAATAAGTCAGGTTCTTGTGGTAATGATCGAACATGCTGGTAGCATAGTAGAGGATATCGCCATATATCTGGCCAAGTGACACAAGTGCCTGAAGTGGGTATCGCAGAGGGTGATTGACGGTGATCATGTATGCTGTGCAGAAGGAAAGAGGACCCCAGCAAAGCTGCACCGCAAGTCAGCACACATCGGACAGCTTCCATCGCTTGAAGGTATACCGCAGTGATAGACTCCATGCACAGTACGAATGGATCCGATGTCAGGTACCTCGAGTCAGAAAGCGCATATTCCTTCCATAACTGGCCGAATAGATCTTGTGCGGCGCCCATACGCGTATGGTTGAGAGCAAAATAGCCCTCGAAAAAGAAGTGTATTGTTCCGCCTGCGACCAGAGTTAGCGAATCGAGCAATGTCACTCGTGCTTGAAGGATGGGCTTACTTAGAATGAACCATAAAAAAACGAGCTTGTCAGGTTTGCGAAGCCGGGGCGAGAACCATGAAACGGAAGCCCATGTCAGTCCCAGGATTACCAGCAATCCTCCCAGGAAGATGCCAAGCAAAGTCGCGACAGACCATTTGTTAGCCAGGTAGCCCACGATGTCTACTCCAAGGGGATAAAATGGGTGAAGGGGGGTCCCAACATTGCTGGCCGTAGACAAGCTGTCCTTAGATGACCCAAACATGGCGAAGATGTGGAAAGAAAATCGTGAAGATGTCAAGCCAAAGATTAGAAAGGAAAGGATGTGTGGCTTGGGGGCAGATTTTTGCAGTGATTTGCGTTGTGCCATGCTTTAGTATGATACCCGAGCAAGCTTACCCCTGCAAACGAAAAAGGAAACAGGGCGTGGCCGCAACGCCGACTCTGCATCATCACCACGAGCTTAGCACGAGGCATACACACTCCTTTATCAGTTTAAAAGTCGCTGGCTTTCGTCTACTGACCAGCAATTCTTTTTCCACCTCGAGGCAATCTATCGCTGATAGGTCTCCTCGGTGCATTCGAGGACTCTTCACGCGTAGAGTGAAGTGTGTGAGTTGACTGAATAAACCTTTCATCCTCAAGATGTTCACGAGGTTGGTTTCTTCCTGGTGCTAGCATATGGCCTTGCTGGACCTTTGAACAGCTGCAACTTGACTATAATAAGACCTCCGGTAGACGTCTTTCTTACAGTCCCAGCTTTGCTCATGCGCATCTGGTCCATCGAGCTTCGCCAGCCTTCTCACTTCCGCAACGAAACAAATGATTCATTTAGGCTGGTCTACTACTTGTACTGTCCTTTCTTTTCGAAAACGAAGCATTCAAATAGCAATACGCTGAAAGGGCAACTACCGACTGTTCCTCAAGGGGGTCCTCAATGCAAACAGGCGAATCTTCATGTCTACTCTCACATTAAATGGGAGTGGTACTGACAGCTTGACCCAACAACTTTATCTCTGGCATTACACATCGTGCACTTCAAATAAAACGAGCCCCTGGCTGTGGTGCCTAATCAGCCTAATCAGCCTAAGTTCGAAAGTCTTCGTCCTTTTCGCTGTGCAATCGGACATCTCTCATAGTATATTGCACAATCCAATCCAGCCTTGAAAAAGCTTAGCGGGAACCACCACCCGAGCAAATGATGTTTGTGCTTCAGATGGTATCATTTGACAGCTTGCAGATCTAACAGCAACCCTTTCCTTTCCTGGGATCTCGGCGTTTGATGGGGCCGCCTGCGGGACAAGGATCTTGGTCCTCCGCATACACCAGAGACGAGGTACACCAGTAGGGAAGCAGCTTTGCCATCATGACTGCAGGCGGTCCACTAACAATACGTTCCAAAATTGTACGAAAGTTCACTATGACGACGGTTGCTTAACATTTGACATTACAGTTCTCATAAAGATAACGGTTGGGGGACTGAATCCGACGCCACCTGAGCGGTTTTCTGTGGGGAAGGGTTCAGACGCCTCGTATATGAATGCAGTTCCAACTGGATTTCACCATGCCCATTCTCGAGGCCTTTTGGACCTTTGGATTTTTCAGTACGACATTTGCAGTCGTCATCGACATTGAATCTTTAAGATTCGCTACTCTTCAGCACAAAAGTTGAGCTTGTAGCATTGCTTCGACTTCTGCTGCTTGGAATAGCCATGTCAAACAAACCTATATTTGTAGCAACGCACCCGCGTTCTTGCTCCACAGCTTTTGAGAGGGCGAGTTAATATGGATCAGTCGAGCAGACTCCCTGAGCACATCTAACAGAATGCTAGGTTTTCATGACCCGTCGTGATACACTTGAGTGTATTCACGAACCATTTGGAGACGCTTTCTATTATGGGCCGGAGAGGCTCAGTTCCAGATTTGAGGATGATATGAAAGCTAGGGAAGAAAGTGGTTTCAGCCAAACGACATATCAGACGGTCTTCGACTCGATCGAACGCAGAGCATCCCAGGTCTGATTCAGTCCCTGCCAAGAAACGTCTCTTGTTGCGTTATTTCTGTTTTGTTCATCTCATCCGTCTTCGATTGAAGGCGGGACCGGGGGCTCAGAGCATTATCCAATATTTGTTTCTGATGCCTCTTGCACACTGTTTACCGCATCATCTCGCCTTTCTTACGTTGCTCGCACATTCGCTTTCATACCCTCGGCCTCCAACTCATTACCTCCTGTTAGATCTATGAGCTACGCCCGTCATGTTGGGATTGAGCAGCAGACTTACACTTCTCAAGGGCAAACGTATCTTCATCAAGGATATCATCCATTACTTGGTCCCCCCTGGCGGAAAGCCAGCATCGATTGCACCCTCTCTGCAACGCATTAAGCGTGGAGTAGGCACAACTGGTGAAACATCGCCGACGACCAACGGCAGAAAAGAGCCGAACGGACAAGCGCTCTGGCCTTGGCCCACAGAAGCTGAGCCTGGGAATCCTACGGTTGTCCCAACCGAAATGCTAGCGAGATTCCATTTCACCTTCCTCATCCGTGATCCACACTCCAGCATCCCATCTTACTATCGCTGTACCGTACCACCTCTTGATAAGGTGACTGGGTTCCACGAGTTCTACCCCTCGGAAGCTGGCTACGACGAAGTTCGCCGAGTATTTGACTATTTGCGCAAGTCAGGCCTCATTCGTCCCTCTGGAGGGACGACTGATGACTCTATCAAACACGAGCTTAATGGTCTGAGTACTGCAGCTGGCAAATACCATGTCAATGTTTCCGAAACGGACGGTGTTGAGATTTGCGTTGTAGACGCAGACGACCTCCTGGACGACCCGGCTAGCATCATCCAAGCGTATTGCAAGAGTGTGGGTATTCAGTATGAGCCAGGAATGCTTTGGTGGGGTAGTGAGGAGCATCAAGCCTATGCAAAGGAGGCATTCGAAAAATGGAAGGGCTTTCATGAAGACGCGATAGACTCCCAAGAGCTGAAGCCTCGTACCGAAGTAAGTACCATCGATCCTCATCGAACTTCCTGAAATAGGAAGAGGCCGCGGAATGCCGCAATTTATAGACTGACGATGACAGGAGAGAAAGGTCAAGTCTGAGCCCGAGTGGGATGCTGAGTGGAAAGATAAGTATGGTGCAAAAGCGGCCAAAACCATCAGAGAGACCGTCGACAAGAACATGGATGACTTCCTTTACATGAAGCAATATGCACTGAAGGCATAAATGGGTCGAGGCATGGAAGAGGGCCCGATGAGCAGATCTTATTGATTTTTTGCTTACACTCCTTTGGCATGTGAAATTAAGGATGAAAGGTGAGTTCTTGCTGCTCTGAGCGTCGTACAACCATTGACGCTTAAGTAGTCTGTGCTTCCTTCATCGTCAATCTCTGAACAGTTCTCCATCTGACTTTTTTTTGGATTCGTAGCCTGCACTCAATTTCTGGCAAGATGCCATTCTGGCTACAAAGTGTCAAATGTTCTTGGCCGTCATTAGAGCCGCAAACGCGCGCTTACATACTAAGCTCCTCAATCTACACTTACTACGTACATTCAGCGCTTGACTACTAAGCGACTATGATCGTCGTATCTATGACGGATACAATTGGGCTTAATGTGTAGACATTTATATTATTTGCTTGGTAGTTTTCTGAATTCCTACCGTGAAAAGGATTTTCCCCTCCTTGCTTGAACATAATTGGGAACGTCTTCTTTTCTTCATCTGTGACATTCCTTCTGCCAATTGGGCCCTTTCGAATCTTGCGCCACTACAATCCCGATCTGTGGCTTCCTATTGTCTTTTTATTTGCGTCCTGGCTCGACTCGACCCGATCTGAACGATTCAGGCACCATCCAGCTCATTGAAGGTTCTGAAAGTCTTTCAGCCATTCTGCCCCTTTGGAGAATCCACCAAAATTATACCACGTTGCTAACGGTCACGCTTCCGATCAACCATGGCGTCCTTGATATTCGCAGCATCATATCTGACCTACAACAAAATCAAGTCGAAGCGAGAGGAGAAGAAGGAGAAGAAGCGCAAAGCATATGCTGATAGATACCATGAGCTGGAGAAGGAACATACATTTAGTGCGGGAAAGCAATTGCAGCGACAAAGGACTGGTGACAACAGTAGAGAAGGCACGCTACCAAACTCATCTATACAACCGGAAGAGTTGAGACTTAGAAGAAGTAGTGAAAGTGTGCCGAGTGATGAGGAGAAGACCGACGGTCCAACCGCATGGGTGAACGACGTTGTCAGGAGGCGGTCAGGAGAAGTGGTGCAAGATTCCCCAAGGGCTGGTCATGAAGATGCAAAAAGGCAGGGTCTCATCTGATTTTAGATGACGGTATTGATCACATTCACCGGGTATCGTTGCGACAGTATCAAACCAATATGTTTACAGCCAGTGAGCACATTTCACGAACATCTTCGCTCTGCGAGGATGCGTTCTCCGTCAATGTACAGATCACTTCGAGCTTTTCTAAAGCGATTTTGTTGGGCGCGGGAGTCAGTGAACTATGTAGTGGCTCCTATGGATATTTCAAATTCCTGGTTGTGGAAGGGTGTCACGTGCTTGGCGATCGGTAGCTAAGCTCAATTGCTTCTGCTTCTTTGCAACCTTCTCCTTCATATTTGACAGAATCAATCAGCTTTGCTTACCCATGATAACGGGATTCTACCATCGCTGTTCCTCCTTGCTGGTAATAATTCAGCAATATCCGGTCTATTGAAGAAAGAGTCACTTGGACATTCAAGGCCAATGCGATATAGAGGATATCGCTATGCACGTAATCGAAGTAATGAACGGTCTGTCTACAGAGTATCATCGTTTCTGTTATCGCTCTACTATGTACAGTTACTAGCCCCAACAACAGAAGCTTAGCATTGCCAATTCATCTCCACCTGAGGTGCCTCACTGAACGCATCCCAATCTTGATGGTCTCTGCTTCAAAAAGTACTAATTCACAGCATCTCAGCTTCCAAAGAAAATATTATACCTAAGAAGGTGTTATCTGATCCCTTTTGTCTACAACAGTTTGATACTTAGTCGTCATGCACTCTTGCTGTTCAGGATGTTGAAAGTGTTTAACAAGAAGCCAGAGACCAAGAACACAACAAAATCTTGCTGGCCGTCTGAGCCGTTTCTCACGTCAGAGTCTCCGGAATTGTTCTTGCTCCGTTGTCGAAAGAACGCCGAAAAGGCTATCTGCTGAGGAAATTCCTCTGGGCCTGTGGGATCCATGGGCAGAAAGACCCCTAGGTGAATTGAATATGAATGCCCTGTGGGGAAGCGCATCGAGTGAGTCGTCCTATATTCTCCTCCATTTTACGCCACGATGCCATCTTGTAGAGTTCTTAGGGCCTCCAAGAAACGGTCAACATCGATAGGACACAGTCTGGATGTCATGACACTCCTGAGGTCATTTGGCAGGCGAATCATTTGAGTAGTAAGTCCGAAGCTCATTGCAAAGCAATCAATCAACTCAGACTAGAGCAGGGAGTTATATTCCGAAATCTGCAGTTGCTCTTCTTGCAGCGGAGCATGGGTGGAGAAGGAGCAAGAGCAGCCTGTCGCTCTGGATGGGGTGGGTAGATTGTCGAAGGACAATGTTATCACTTTCAGAGCTGCCGACCCAGAGCATCCACACAACTGGCCAAGGGTGAAGCAAGCTTCGATGGCTAGTGAACTGATATACTGATCACTGCTTATAGAAGAAGGTTCTTGCTGTGCTTGCTGGTATCCCTGCTGTCATCAATAGCATACTCGGTTCCACGCTACCAAGTGGTACTAATCGGTTTCATTGCCGCATATTGGTCTATCACCAATCAAGAACAGCTAGGCTTACCAGTTTCAGTCTTCTTGGTAGGCTATGTGGCCGGGCCAATTTTGTTCGGACGTCTTAGCGAGCGCCTTCGTCTTGGTCTGGTATGACAATCATCTAGCTTAAGCACAGAAGCGGCATTTTCCTTGGGCTTCGCAGGAAGAATACCGTTGCCTCCCACTTGCCTGCGTTGGTGGGTCACTCTACGTGATCGCCCTCTTTTGGCTGGCTTGGTCTGCCAATCGCCTCGTCCATTGGATTCTGCCAATGATCTCTGGAGTGATCTTTGGCATGGGTTCCTGCCCATCTTCATGGCCATACTCCATTACCTGACCGATGCTTGCCAGGTCTTCGCAGCCAGCGCCAATGGTAAAGTTGTTTCGACTTGCAGGAATGTGCTTGGCGCGCTATGAACCCCTGCGCCAAAACCTATGTATACCAAATTGGGAATACACTTGGCTGGATCATTGCTTGCATTTCTTGGTCTGGACATGACTGTTATACCTTTTATGTTTATCAGGTATGGTGATAGGACACGGGAAGGTAGCAGGTTCTGTCAATATGTGAAGAAGTTAGATGAGGAGGAGGCGGCGGAAGAGGACAGGAGACAGTGACACGGGTTCAAGTCTGCTTCCGCAAGAGGAAGGCGCTTGAAAGATACAACGCCCACTGAAGTTGAAAACTGAGCACAGTGCTCGTCCTATCGACTCCATATTTCTATCCTAGGAGTAGTTATATAATGATACACATCAAGCTAACTCTAAACCTCTAGAATCACAACTTACTCTCCTTCTCCTGCTTCAACCTGGCCAACCCTTCCTGGGTACACGTCGCGATCAAGAACCCATCCTTACTCCATATCCTCTGCAGCACCAACCCCCTCCCTTCGCCTGCCCAAGGACTATTCATCTCGCTGAACATCCACTCATCGGCGCGAAACTTCCTCGGATTATGGAAGTAGATGGAATGATCCAACGAGACCATCATACCGATCTGCTTCTGCGAGGTTCCCTCTCTATCCCGATTGGCGTCAAATGCGGCATTCTCGTCGTCATCTTCGCTTGCAATCTTCTCCATATGGGCCTGCAGCTCCTCTCTTTCCTTGTCTGAGCCGTGGAAATTCTTGAGGGTGGAGGATCGAATGAGGTTGTGCACTCGGGCGATGGTGCCGATAAAGTAGGAGTCGGACATGTATGCTAGCGCAGAGAGGTGGGCTTGGTGGTTATCTCCTTTTGACGCCCGTACCACTCCCTGGCCCTGATCTAGAGTGTCGCCTCCAGCTTCAATTCCTACAGGTCCATCGCTTATCCTCCCCCTCGCTCTGATCCACTGCCTCGTCCTCTTCTCTTCCGGCCTCCCATCCCTCGCCCTCGAGACTCTACACCTCACGCTCTCGAAGGGCGTCGACCCGTCGTCCCCGCCTATGGATGCATTGCCCGTCCCCTGTCTCGCGTTGCCCCTGCCCTCTGGCGGCATCTCCACGTCCGTCGGCATCCCACTCTGATGCTCCAGCTTGAGCTCACCACCGCTCCCCTCCCTCATAAAGCTGATCGTTGTGGTGAAGATGCACCTCCCGCGTTGCCTCGCCTGCACCGTCCTGGTGACAAAACTCTTGCCGTCCCGCACCCGCTCTACCTCATATATCACCGGTATCTCCGAGTCGCCGGCTAACACGAAATAGCAGTGCATAGAGTGCACGATGAAGTGGGGAGGAATGGTAGCTTGTGCCGCAGAAAGGGACTGTGCTATTGCGGCGCCGCCGAAGATTCCGCGTGCTCCTGGGGGATGCCAGAGGGGGTAGGCGTTTGTGTAGACGGTGGGAGAGATGTCGGTTAATGCATGCAGTTGGAGGAGGGTTTCTATGGGAGAGGCGTCGGGGAGAGGAGGTGGAGGTTTGATGAGGGTTGGGCGGGGCTTTTGAGTGGGAGAAGACATATTGGTGGGCTTTGTGCTGCTAATGATGGCCTGGACGAGGAGGAGAGCGCGCAAGAGAGACTATCGAAGAGGGAGTCTCTGGACAACTCAGGGGGTCTCCCTCATCAGCAGGAACCTCCCTTGTTTGCGGAGGGCGAGGCCTCAGATGGGAAGATCAACGATGCTGCCAGTGGCCGATTGCAGCGAGAAGAAAAAAGAACAGCCGAGGCTTGTTGGACCTCGGTTGTTCTTTGGCAAGACAAAGCTCCATCAAATCTCCACACCCATCTGCTACAGTAAATACGCAGTACGTAGTAGCCTCGGAGTAAGGCACTCGGGGTAAGGCACACGGTGCTCCGAACCCCCCCGCCAATCTTTGCAGGCACCATACCACAGGCTTGTCAGACTGCGTTGAGCACTTCCCTCGCCTGCGTAGCACCTCCAACATACTTCATACTTCCCAATGTGATCTGCGTGGCGGTTTTCATGCAAAGTGCTTCTGTCATCAGTCAGCTCCACGTGGATGCTTTAATTGGTCCGCCGACTTCATCGCTTGCCCTGGCCCTGGTCTGCATCTTCGCCGCCCTGAAGATCTTGCACAAGGTAGGAAGGTTGGAAGGGCTGTCGAAGAGCATCCCTGCATTATTGCCTTGCAGCAAAAGATGTCGTTTCTTTGATTCTTCTTTCTTATAACTAAAACTAATCGCGCCTGTTTCTCTCTCTCCCGTAGTTGATCGCTCGTTTCTTTGGAGTCTGCCCAATTCAAGCTCACGATCGCCGTAATCATGCATCTGCCGTCTGTGCTTCTTTCTGTGCTGTCGGCTACAGCTACACTCGCTTGTGACTCGTGCTATGGACCTACAGACTACGACATACACACCAGACATGTACGCCGTCAGCAACCCGAAGCGCTCAATGCCACTTCAGGCCCTCGAGGCCCTCTGGAATGGGGTCAGATAAACTTCCTTCACACCACCGATACGCATGGCTGGATGGAAGGACATCTCAAGGAACAGAATTATGGCGCCGACTGGGGGGATTATGTTTCCTTCACAAGACGCATGAAGCAGAGAGCTGGCAGCTTGGGTGTCGACCTGTTGCTAGTCGATTCAGGTAAGAAATGCAACACAAAAGACATTCTGGATGGGCTTTTGGATTGAAATCTATCAGGCGACCTGCACGATGGCAGTGGTCTTGCTGACACAACCTCTCCAAATGGTGTAATTTCCAATCGCATCTTTGAAGAGGTGGACTACGATGTCCTGGCCATAGGCAATCACGAGCTATATGTAACAGATGTTGCCTACTTGCACTTCACACAATTCGCGAGGAGGTATGGAGATCGTTATGTCACCTCAAACGTCCAGATTCGCAACAACGCAACGGGGGAATTCGAATACATGGGAGTGCCCCATCGGTACTTCACCACCCAACAAGGTCTGCGAATCATGGCATTCAGCGTGCTTTATGACTTTACCGGGAATACAAACTTGACCAGGGTCATCAGGGCTGCAGACTTGGTAAAGCAGCCTACATTTCTGAATGCTGTAAACACTACCGATCCTGTGGACCTGTTTCTTGTTGTTGGACATAACCCTGCTCGAGCCAATGTGTCGAGTAGCACTTTTGGTCTGATTCAGTCCACCATCCGGAAGATGAGGCCCAACACCCCAATCCAGCTTTTCGGCGGCCATAATCACGTTCGTGACTTCGCTGTCTATGATAGCTCGTCGACTGCTCTTGGAAGTGGCCGATACTGTGAAACTCTAGGGTGGGTGTCTATGAGCGGCATCAATTCCACCACTTTCAGAGGCAACATGAGACCTCGCGGGGTGCCGAACCCCAGTCGGAGAGCCGTTAGAAATGCTACCGTATCTGGATCCGCCGCAACGCCCTCTGCCACGAACTCCAGCTCCAGCTTCTCCAGCTCCCTTGTTTACTCAAGAAGATATCTTGACTGGAACCGCCTGACATTTGCCTACCACGCAGTTGGGTCGCAAGATTCAACCTTCGACTACGGCAGTGGCCGGCGCGTTACCAACGATATCACGGCAGCCCGCAGAGAGCTAAACCTGACAGCTCTCTATGGCTGCGCACCACAAACTTACTGCCAAAGCTGCAGACCTTTTGGCACCAATGGCAGCGTCTACAGCCTCATCTCGATCGCGCTCGCAGCAACTGTCGTCAACGAAAGCCGTGCCGACATTCCTCGACTAATCATCATCAACACTGGTAGCATCCGTTTCGATCTTGTCCAAGGTCCCTTCACATACGACGACTCCTTCATCGTCTCTCCCTTCGTCAACCGCTTCCAATTCCTCCCCAATGTCCCCTATTCTATCGCGAGACAAGTCCTCGACGTGCTTAACGCTGGCCCTTATCAAAAGAGGAAGCGTGACCCCACGTCTTCCAACCTCGGCTTCCTGAAAAGCTTCAACGGTGACGACGGCTGCGCAGACCCAACACTGTACGGCGCCTCATCAAAGCTTCCAAGCCATCACGAACACAATCTGCGATCTCGCTCCATCACTCGCCGACAAGCTCCACCACCACTCGACGAGCTACCCCCCGGCTACGTTACAACTGACGACTTCGGCAGCGATGGTGACGACACTCCTCACTCCCCCATCCCCCGCTACCCCATCCCCAACGATGTTCAAGCCAATGCTTCGTTCCCCACGGATGGCTCTGATCCTGAGAGCGTGGATCTTATCTTTCTGGATTTCATCGCTACACGTTTCGTGCTCCCGGCGGTGAACAGTGTGGGCGGCAACTACACGGCGAGTGATATACAGCTGTATATGCCCGCGGACTTTACCACGCAGGATTATTTGCCCGAGTATGCACGCAGGTTTTGGAGTCAGGGACCGAGCTGTCCCGTGGGAGCAGGGGTGTCGTGATCTGGTTGTGATCAGGCCTTCAAGGGTCCTCAGAAACAGGCTCTTTTTGGGAACGGTAATATGTATTATCAAGAGTGCTATAATGAAGTAGACCGCACGAACACAAGAAGAACTAAGAATCTCGTCTCTGCCTGCCCCTCCTAGACTGCATCAGTTCCTCCACATCGTCCTCTCTGCCCACATATTGAGCTGCTGTTTCACAAGCACTGCTTTTCATTGGCGTCTCTATAACTTTGGCCGCTACAGGAAAAGGGCAGTCCCTATGTTACGCGGGCTCGCCAGTATTGCTCTTCCGAATTCGAGCTGGAAGAGAAGTAAGCTCCATCATCGTCCCAATGACTGACCGATCTGGCCCATTCCACTCGCTTACGCAAGGCATCCGCTGCGAGGAGACAGAGGTCGAGTTCATCCATTTCAAGTCCCTTCGAGGCCTGAACCCTGTCCGAACATATCATCAAGCACGGCCCCAGCTCGCCAACAAAGTCTGGCTGGAAGTCACTTCCCAGTGCTCGGTCTCAGCCTGCCTGTCATCATGTCCGACGGGGAGCGTGCTGTCGTAAAAAAATAGTTATCGAGGTACGTTAGTCCGCCTTCCTGAGGGATCGAGTCCTCTTCAAAACAAGTCATCAAGCCCGGGAAGCCGAGCTGGCAATCAATGTGCGATAGAGAACTGTTTTGACCGTCATCGACTTTGTATTTGTATGCGTCGCTGACGTCGGTTCTGAGATCGAGATCGAGATCGAGGCACATGTGATTCGACTAACCGCCCAACTCGAGCACAGGGGCTTCATCGAAGAGAGTTCAAGGCTGTGGAAGATTGCTGCTGACAAGGTCCATTAGAGGTGAAGTCCTCCTCGGAGATGGGAGGATGTTCTTGATTACTTCTGGGTTGTGTGGCTTTGCCCGGGGGGATGGGGGGGGCTTTAACGATTGCGCCCACCCGGGCGCATGCAACTCCATCATTCCGCCGAGCAGTGGTAAGTAAGTAAACATCATTCACATCCAAGGTAACGTAGTATGCAGATTGTTGACCATCTACGAATATTGGCCAACCGGAGGGCTTGCTATCACGGACATAGCCCATTAGCTCACAGATGCACAGCCTAATAAGGCATTAGCTGGAGAAGACGAATGGGATGTGATTCTTGTCGTCAGACTTCATGATTTACGGTCCTTTAGTCCCACAAGATGCTTGGTATATTGCTAGTCTGGTATTGCAAGAAAGGGACACGAGCCGATGCTGCAGTTTCGCGTAACGCCATGTTCGATGTAGAAAGTGAGGCCCAGTGACTCTGCATCCAACCCAAAATGAAACCTTTCGTCCATGCAGCGCAACCAATGAGGACGTGAAACGCCAGACTATGCAATCGCTTGAACGCAGCAAAACAGTGATAGAAATACAAGATGCGTATCACGTAGCAGATAGTGGCACGAAGATCCTCCGCCTGCTTGAAATTGAAGCGAATCAGCTCTCATTGAGCGGGCGACTCGTCGAAGTGACCTCCCACTCCAAAAAAGTCTCCTTCACTGGTGGCACTACTGTTCCTTCCACGGGCCGTCGATTGACCATCCTCGTCGTCCGAGACTGGCACATTCAGATGCTGGGTGTTGATATGGAGACCTTGCATAGACATGCGCAGGGGCTGAGAAGAGGCTGGAGGAGCAGCGACATTGCTGGGATCATTAATGGAACCACGGGCGGAGTCGGTCGGTGTGAGAGGCCGGCCTGTTGATTGTCGATGGCTTGAACTGTCATTGACGACGTCAGAATTCTGCAGGGTGGTGGCCTCGCTAAAAGAGGTGCTGTGGCGTACATCAGCCCTGAATTGGCCCTCGACAACGTTAATGATGCTCTGTGGCTGGCGAGTAACCGTTGCTCGACTGGTATTGGCCGAAGCTCCCGGCTGTGATGATAAGCTTAAAGAGCTACTTGTAAGAGTGCAGGTTGCCAAAGGCCGGCCCGGAGGATTCAAGATCTCTACCGCAGTCTCCTGAACGAGAGGTGGAAAAGGGTTAGGCTCAGAAGGAGGACTTGCAGTATTGGTTACATCTTGGGCACTTTGAGGCTCTTTTGGCGCTATCTCTGATTCCTTCCTTCGTAGCGACATCAATTTGCGAAGGCGTTTATTGACATTCAGGTGTTTGGCCAAAACAGTCTTGGGCTGTTTGAAACCTGCCCATAACTTAGATACGAACGTCTTCGACTTTGATGATGGGGTGTCAGCGCAGGCTTGGCCCGTATTCTTGCAATCTCTTCGATCAGGTGGTGAATTTGGTTCAGGTGGTGCTGTGGGAGTCCGGTTTGTAAAGAGTGCATTGGGAGAAGCAGACATGTAGGAGAAGACAGACGATTTTGCCCAAAAAGAAAGGTAGATGATTAGCAAAGTAGTAAGCAAGAAAGAAAAAAACAGAGCAAGGTAGTGAAGGAGTGCCCAAGCCCTGCGCTATATTCAAGTAAGATAGCTTGCTTGGGAAATACGGTTGACAAAGAAATGACAAGATGGAAATGCTTGTAAACTATAGTTGGATATTATGGACGGCAATTAATTAGCAGAAGAGAAGACTTAAATCTTCAACATACTCTACCTTTGTTGCATTGTTGGGGGGTTAGTAGGATTCCACGAGGGGGCCGAGGGTTTATATCATGTCTGAGGCGGTTGTAGGCGGCGTTAATATGGTCCAATTGATGCTTGCTCAGCCTCAATTACATATTGGAAGGGGATGAGGCTGACGATACAAGTTCTGGGTTAGACTGCTTCCTGACCCCTGAAGTGGAGGATGAGAAATGCTGCGCAGTGCGCGATCGTGTCTTAGGTCTGTCTGAGTTGACGAAGAAGCGCATGACGATAGGACAGCAGTGGCACTGATGACCGGTTGTGCTTGAGGAATCTGGCCGTTGTGCAGGCGTTTGCAGTGTCGACAGATAACAGAAGAAGAAGCGAGAAGAGAAGGGAGTGGGCATGAAGTGCGGGAGGCCTAAACCTGCAGGCAGTGCAGTGAAGAGGGCAAGCCACACTTCGCTCTTCTTAGCTCGAAGCCGCAATGGCGGGGAATCTTCCTCGGGGCGCAAAGATCTACCGTTCGTGAATAATGGAGCTCCAGGAGGTGCATGATATTGACATAAGAAGTGGATCATACACCCAAGGGCAGAGAGGACAATGGACAAGGAATCAAGAAGCAGCTTCCGGACAAAACCCAGGCAAGGCTCGGTGGAGTAAACTTCGAGTATGGGTTTGATCATCAAGGGAATACGTCTTGCTCAGAGAGATAGTAAGCAGCTGCGAGTCGTTTCACCACAGTGAGCAGAACCGTGCATACCAATTTCTGCTCGCTTCACATGCCCAGTGAGAGTGAGGGCTAGGCTAGAGCTGAACCTATAGCTCCAATGATCCATGCCCTTTCTGTGGTGCTTTGGGGTTACAATTGCTAGGCTACACGGCTATTTAATAGGGGATAGGGCGCCCATTTCGCTCGTTTAGGGCAGCTACTCTATCTGGCATCGTTGAGATAGCCCTATTAATCTCCTCAATGGTTATTTTATCCCACTCCTCTTGGATGGCGCGGCGCAGAATGGCTTCTTCGAAGATGACCCCCCTGGACTTCAACCTCTGCTTAATTATCCTCCAAATGGTCTCAATAGGGTTGAGATCTGGCGAATTCGGAGGATTTGATTCCTATTGGATACCAAGATAGTCTTTGAGAGCTTTAACCTTATTAAATCCCTTGCCTTTGGTTCCATGAGGCCCATCATTATCTTCGATCAAAACGCAATTCTTATCCCAATCAGAAGCGACGATTTGCTCAAGAATAACCATGTAATCAGCTTGAACAAGGCGTCCCCCTATACCAGAGCCAGTATAGAAGTGGAGCTGACCCTTGAAATTCCATCTAATTACTCTGTATACATGTATTGATTGATTTTGGCGCTTCAGTTTGAACTGGGTCTTTGAGAGGGCATTTCGAGCCTTATAACCTTTGCGACGATGAACTCAAGCCTGTCGCTGCAAGCAAGTAGCAAAATGAGACTCATCACACCATCGAAACTTCTTAAATGTATCTAATTGCTAATATCGACGTTCAAATCCCTATATAATTCGGGCGTCAATGTGTGCTTATAAGAGCATTTTTTTCTGCATAGCCATATAGGTCCCTACTCCAAAATCCTTCATATTCTGTTGAATTGCGCGTTCAGAGCCATTTGTTATACCAATTGTCTTTGCCACCCTAAAGTGACTTGACGAAGCAAAGCCAAAATTCGCATCTTCAACTGCCTCAATTGCTTCGCACTCATATAGAGTAAGTATCTTTTTGCGACCTTGATTATGGACTTTCTCGCTGCGGCGCGCAGTTCCTTCTTTTAGGATTCGATAGCCAGTTCGATTTGCTATATTATGTATCTTAAATAGCTCCGTACGGGGTAATTTGCCAGCTGTGTGGCGTGCATCAGCAAGAAGGCGCGCACGGCGCGGCGTATCAAGCATCGTTTTTGACGTTCGTGAGGCTGCAGGAGAAGGAGGATCGATCGAATAAGACTTTCGGCAGACGCGGCGCCTATTTCCCTGTTCAGAATCCATTGTTCACTAAATTTGAGTGAGTATTAGTAGAGAAATAGAGGAATGAAGAAGGGGGGGAGGAAGGGGATCTGAGAACTGCCATAAATTTTGGCGCCAAGCTTCGGCCCTACCCCTTCAGTGAGCCGCAGTCAGCATACGCTACTACGGTGGAGGCACAAGTATCGTTAGCTCCAAGCTAGAAATTTGGTCTGAGACGCAGGATTGACGAAAGCATATCTTACTAAAGAGTATCAGTCTAATTGACTCCTAGGCCAGTGCCAATCATTATCATCACTGAGGGGTCAAGAGTTACTGGCGCTCTGGGGGACGCCGGGCTCTTGTATCGAAAGCTAGCTAGCTAGTTAGTACTAATCCACCCTAACAGTACTTGATGCCTACCGCAGTACTCCCAAGTCATACTCGAGTAAGCAGTACTTGACGATTGCTTCGCAGCCCGTGGTCGTGTCGCAGGGATGAGGAGCGGACTTTACGCTGCTAAGTGGCTACAAGGCCACCGGGAGTGTCTCTCGAACTCTTCTGGGCATAATCCGTGGTTGGAGAGTGGATACAGATCTCCACCATGTGAGTAATGGTTCTCTATCGTAGTAAAGTGGGACCATGATCTTCATTCCCAGGGGTGCAGCATGATAGCGCCAGATATGCATGCTCTTCAAACCATAATTTCTGGGGCAGGACAACAACAATCCAGCACGTTTATGCTGCCACGAGGATGATGATAGCAGAGAGCTTCATCTTGATGATCGTAATCAGTTTGTTTCAAAACTGAGGTATTGCGTGTGTGGAAGGTGTTATTGAAGGGTTGGTAGGGTAAAAAAATTGTGGAGAACATTGATCTGGTTCGTATAATAAGTACTCAGGGCTTCTGCCATGCTCTAAATGCACTACGGTTGCGCTATCAGAGAAAGTGAGATATCGTCTTGGTGCTTGCTGTTTTGTTTTTGAGCCATGTATTTGTTTAGTGTGTAATACTTCTGATGAAAAGTGATAGTGTCTGTGGGTGGGCACTGCATATTGCCGCTACTTCTATGCATGTGTCTGGGTTTGGGGTTGGTGGGAGGGCCGGGGTACTCCAGCGTTCATTCTGCGCACTATATGTTCTACTAGTAGGGTTTTCTCAGAATGTTCATTGAGAGAGGCGGGAGATGCAGATGTGAAGGAGGGGGGGCCACCTGGCTCTACGAGGAGTTTCTAGTTCATAGAGCGTTTGGAGGGTATGGGATGGTTGAAGGGAATGGAGGGACGGGTTTATATATGGGCCACAGCAAGAGGCAAATTCGTGTCTCAGTGCTGGAAGGCGATTTCAATACAACGAGAAAGCTCTTTCACAGCATCAAAAGAACTGGTGAGGTCACGTATGGTCGAGCTCGAATGTTCGTGACTAGAATCCCCGCGAGGTGTCTTTGAAATCAAGGCTGGAACAGCGAGTATGAGCGTTCAGATGACTGGAAAGAGAAATATGCTTGTAGGTTGTATACATCTGAAGATAAACTTACATCACGAGACGAAGCTGATTGAAGCCAGTTGGAACTGCTACACCGCGGTTTAGTGTACAGCCCGTCTACTCATGCTTCTCAATCGACTCCGCCAGCAAGATAGATTGACAGATCCTTTGCTATTGAAAGCTAGTAGCATCATCCTTCCGTTGAAGAAGAAAATCCGTTTTGTTAGTAGCATTGTAGAGCATAGGCACAATTTCGACCGAGTCTCTGCGGTTGGGACCTTACTAAGCATTTCCTGACCGGCTCAACTTCGGCTCCGCCTCCGCTCACCCACCACCACAGCTCGGTCTTGACGTCTTCTGCTCACCCTCGTGCTCAGACTCTATCTAAATGCCGCTGAGGCTGTTCACTCAGTTAGTTTTCATAGGAAATTTTCAAAAATTAAAAATATAATATCGACAACAACAGGATTTGAACCTGTGCGGGCGAACCCACATGATTTCTTGTAATCATTTGAACCTGTGCGGACGAACCCACGTGATTTCTTCTAGTCATGCGCCTTAACCACTCGGCCATGTTGTCCTTGTGTCTCTAAGAGGGCATTCTTTTAAATTGACATAGCGTAGCCATGGTCTAAGTTTAAATGACTAGAAACATCAAAATTAACTTTGAAGAAAAGACGTTTCTGCTTGTATTAAACTACTTATCATAGCAATAATTCTATAAATGAAATCATTAAATAGCGCTAAAAACTCTCTATTTAATAGCTTATTTTGAATTTTTAAAAATAGCAGAATAAGAGTAAGAAAATCCAAAGTACTTTCGCTAAGCAATTAGTCAGATAGTTAGAGTAGATGCCCTTCGGGCGCCCTCAGGGCATGATAGTTCATACTACTTCATACACACACTCTGAGTTCGTCTTTTGTTCGTCTGTTTTGCGTCAGACCGTGGCTGTCTGACACAAGGGAATATAGATTAATTTCATTCTAAAATTAATATTCAGATTCTATTCATTTAGCATTTATTAGAGCTAATTATGGTTAGTAAAGAGTACATTAATTAAGTATAATTTGAAATCTATAGGCGCCTTCCTTTTGTCGGAGTAGTTGATATCTCTTTTCTGATAGTGCTGATGCTACAAGAAGATTCTATTTTATCTGTGTTCGATCCCTACATTTGTCTCGAGTTATTTGTCTATTACTCTATTACTGGTGAATAGGAAACTCTGATTTGTCCGTTAAATTGTCTCTGAATTGTCTCGAATCGGCCAGGGCAGCCTCTTGTTGGTCGGTATAATCAGCGAGGGGTACATCAATTAAGTGTGGTTCGAAACCCACAGGCGCCGTCCTTTTGGCGGTGTGGCTGATGTGTCCCTTTTCTTCAGCCTCACCACCGCGCTCTCCGATCTGCAACCACCGCGACCTGCCTTTGCAAACGCAGAGAAGAAGAAGGACGATGTAGTCATGTACAGTAGGGTTGTTTTCACCATGGAGTTAGTACCTACACAGTAGAGAGGGAAGGGGCGGAGCTGAAAAGCACCCTCCGTATGGCTCGACCTTTAACCGGAAAACCAGTTATCATACGAATGGCAAATTTGTTAATCTTGTATCTACACACCGGTACCGTCCAAAAATCATGACCTCCACCAATCTTGCAGCGCTCGCCTGGGTCTCTCTCTCTATCTTATCCTCCTCTACCCATCCGGTCCAAGATTAGTACACTTTACTATGCCGCTCCCCTGTCTACCTGCGGCGTCTGCTGTCGCTTCGGGCCCACTTTACCAATCAGCATCGTCATTGACCACCTCCTACACATTGCCGGTCCTGCAGTAGTTAGTGTCTTGTCAGGTCCCCCGGGGAGGACATACAGATTCCATGCGGCATGTTGAGAAACTGACAGAATTTCCATTCGGGGAGGAGAGAAAATTGTACAGATGTTTCCAATAGTTACCCTTCTCATTACCGAAAAGGACTGATCTTGTTCTAATAGCTGCGGGCAACCAACATTCCTGCATTCCATTTTCTCCGATTGGGCTCCCCTACAGCCACGCTTCTATATTCGAGGAGCCCCCTAATTCCTGCGGACAATTTGAGCATCTTGCCTGAGAGAGAATAAGAGACGACCTTCTTCTTGCTTCTGCGGTACTGGTGCCTGCTTCCTAGCTTGCCTACCCAATCATTGACTTCTTATTTTCCTGACCCAACGAACCCTACTGCTCCTGCGGAAGGCTACAAGACTATCTGTGATACGAAACCCCATGCTAGCCCGCAGCATAAAACTTTGACATGAATCGAGACCGGTCCCGCAAGAGGTAGGAGGCGGATCTTGCATCCCACCTTGGAACATGAACAACAAATTCCTGCTCTCCAACTGCTATTGAAGCGGGCGTTGTGGACTGTCTTGAGGAGAAGCTGATGTGTGGAGTGTGATATACAGCCGTCGTCCACCAAAAGCTCGACCTCTTACCCCAGCGAAAACTCCAACATCTGATGCATATGAATTCGCCAGCCCTAGCTCCCTTACTTTCGAATCCAGTTTTCACGATCCTCGGGTGACTTGGGATACGGCAAATCCTTGTTCCTCAAGCCCGCAAGCCTTTACTACACCCAAGTCTGAAGTCGATGGCGATACGACAGACCACAAGAGCGACTTGACAGCCAATATCGATGCTGAGCTTGCCTCTCATATCCACCATCTCTCACCGACCCCCTACCTCACTTTGCCTCCTGTCGAGCCGTCAAGACAGCTTTCCTCTTCTCCTGGCCCGGGCTCTTCGAAACGTACATGTCTGGAGGCCTCCGAAGTAGAAGAAACACCAGAGACGTTACAGACCATAACTAAGCATCCTGTTTCTTCGAGAAGTACATCGGATACAGAGAGGGTTGAGAGGAATACTAAACACGGGTCTACAAGGCCAATGGCGGATCCGAGGAATAGGAGACTGTCGGCAGCCAATGTCTCTCGAATGGGACCTCCCGAAACCCCTGGTCGACGTGTGGCGGCCTCACCTCAACTGTTTCCTAGCCTACAATTTTCACCAGACCTCTTCCAGGCACCAATGTCAGGACCAGCTCCTGCTCCTTCCCTCCCACAGAACCGATTGTTCTGGGACCCAAGTTCCCATCCAGAAGACCTGTCGTATCAGGACCCTTTTGTACCACCCCATTCGGATCTCGTCGGCCCCTTTACTCCCTCCCCTGCCACCAGTCATGGATTTCAGACCACAAATTCTGTTTCCAGTGCTCACCAATACGATCTGCCCAGTAGTTCGCAGAATACGCAGATCCTGGCCGCATCATTGTCCCCAAGCATTGATGATTCTGGATACCCTGCACCCTTCACAGCTTCACCTCGGGTGCCAGCTCCAGCCCCAGACGATCCTAGTATGTTCTTGAGCTCGCCAGCACGCCGATTTGGACCAACTGCTCAACCATCGGGTACCTACAGCTCAGGTAATCGCCCTGAGCTACAAGCGTACCATCACCAAGTTCAGGAGTCCAGGCGGGAAGAAGAGCTCCGACGGACGAAGAAGACGATGACCAAAAAGCCAACGGTGACAAGAGGCTCCAAGAATGTGCCCAACCGACCAACCTCACCTCCTTCCAGTAGCCGCCTTGGGATGAAACGAAGTTCGACGCATTCCGGCGTTGGAGATAATTATCCCCGTCACCGCCACCAAAGTCAGGTATCGTTTGCCGATTCCTTCTCTGTTGTGGACGATAACAACAGACACCCTCGTGGTGGAAGATCTTCCCCGCTCAAGCAGAGCTCGATGAATGCTTACGAGAAGCTCGATCGACCACAGTCAAGAAGCCGGACATCTCTTTCTTTTACTATCGACAAGGATGGCAGGGCCAAGACAGTGGTTACACGAGTATCCGACCAACCACAATGTCGAATGGACATGGACGAAGAGCCATCCGGCAGCGACACCGATTCTGTTGATGCTGCAGACTTCGACATAGCAAGAAGCCAAAATAACTCTTTTGCCTTCTATGAACAAGAAGAACAACATCGGCCTGTTGATCGGCTCAGACGCGAACCAAATTCTCACTCGAAATCAAGTTCCTACTCCTCAACGATAGGATCTTCAGCATCCGCACCACTTTCATCGAGGACCAGCTCAACTTTTGGAGGAGCTCGCTCTCATTCCAAAATGCCAGGAGATCCTTATAGCACAGGCGTCTTGAATGCCCAAGCTCGGCGCAGCTTCACCTCAGTCCACGCTCGGGCCCACAATGACATTAACACGATCCCTGACGAAGAAGTAGAAGAACGCTTTGACGCACAGCACGCCTTACGAGCAATGTTAAATGATCGCACTAGATCGATCTCCAGCCACATCGCTCAACTTCCCCCTCCTCCGCTTAATACTTTCCAAGGTTTCCACTCATCACCGCCAGTACCTAACAACAACTACGGCATCTACAATGCCTCGCCAACTACAATCACCGATCCTGATCTTGCCACACCCAGCACGGACCGTGGCAGCCACGCCAGTAGCGGAAGTACAAGATGTATTTGCAATTCCTCTTCTCCTGACTGTCATCTAATGATCCAATGGTAAGTCTTGCAACCCTCTTCCCCTCCCTTCCATTCACACCAATTCCAGTGTCCAACTAGTATTGACTCTCGTCCTGCCAGCGAATCTTGCTCCAAATGGCTCCACGCAACCTGTGTCGGCATCGAATCGCAGCAGCAAGTCCCTCTGGTCTATGTTTGTGACTATTGCCGCCAGACGCCCATGCGTGGGGGACGGATCCGTGAACCCTCGAGGGCAGCGGCTATGGCGCCCGCGAGTCCGTTGGCGGGTAAGAAAGGAAAGTTTGGACGATGATTCCTCTCCTGGTTCCATTTACTGTGTGTATATATGTATCTCCCCAAGGGATGTGTCTGTCAAACAGCGGATACGTTGGTGGGGCTTGCTTGCTTGGGGTAATGGCTTTGGAATAACTGGTTGAATGACCCAGTGGGAAGCAAAGTCGGTCAAGCATGGGCGCCGCTGCTGCGTGCTGGTTTGCATACTTAGCCCTCGATTCTGCCGACGTGTAGTAGCGATATAGCATCTAGCGTTTTTGCATTTAGCATCTGGCGTTATCCGATTGTGAGCGTGCATGCTTTCAGCTTACAGCTTACATAGATGGGCGAGAGCAATCATACTTACTTACTGACCCCGTAATCCCATGTTGGATATTTGCGCATCACTCGCTCGCTACATGTCTAATTCTCTGCCCTCATTCTGCATCACCGCGCCTTGGATCCATCATGACTGACTGATCGTTTACCGAAGACAGCTCTATGTTGAAGCGTGGCTGGCTTGTTTAAACTAACTAGGTATGGTGTGTGTGAAAAAGAACTGCTGCAGGTGCGGCCAGAGGCGCGCGATAGCTTTTCACCATTCTGACGACTGAGCAGAGAGAGCAAAGGTAGATAGATGATGGCATGCCACATGATTGATCTTCCTCTCCCTCCATCTTGCACGTCGTCTCTTCATCTCTTCCCTGTGTCTCACCACTCACTCACTCACTCTATCCCACAAAACGGCGCTTGCCTTCTCTCCATGCTTACAGGTAGTACACCCCATTCCCAATCTCAGGTCGATAACTCCCCGCTGAGGACGCGCGAGATGGCGGTCTGGCTGACGGCGTGGAGGGCGGCGGTGCGCGATTTGCCGAGGGATTGGGGTTGTGCTTCTGCTACCACTACTTGTTTTGAGGGGTTTGGGTTGGGGTTTGGGTCTTCGGTAGAGGGGTTGGGGGGAGGGGGAGGTTGCTCGGGTTTCTGCACGCGATAGACGTCAATCCCCTGCCTGATCTCCTCGGCGCGCATGAGGAAGACGTTCAGTACGCCGGCGCTGGCTACGGCGGCGAAGGGCACGAGGCGGCTTAGTATGGTTCGTGTACTCGGGCTGAGGCGTTTGAGCCGCGGCACCAGGGCGTTGAGACCTAGGGCGACGGAGCAGGAGGCT